TCAGCGTAATTTGCCCTAAATGTTGTTAAGGTCTGGATGAAGTAACTGCATTGCTGTACGTGTATTGTTTTCCTATATGTTCTTACATTCTTAGTAGGCTGAATTTTATTTGAATATTCATCTTAAATAGTACTTTTGTCAAGAAAGTACTAAACTTAGGAATGTCAAAGCCAAAGATGTCTCCTTACAAATATAGCAGTAATTGTTGCTGTGAGGTGCTAGAGAATTGTATAGCTCCTGGATAGACCAAGTGATCGCTGTGAATAGCATTAACTAATCACCTTACAGCGTTACCGTGTGTCATCAAAAAAGCAGTTCCCAGGGTGAAATAAAAATCAAATCCAAGCATGAACAGATAGTTAAGATTATGTATTAGCAGCACATAACATATAACTTTACAGGCTTTATTTTCCAAGCTGCCTAGTTAAGCTTTCCAAATTAATGTTGCTGCTACTAAAAAAAAATTATGTCTCTGCTCAGTTATTTTGCTTTTGCTGCTTGTGCTCTGTTCTATGGTGAAATTGAAATATGCTTTGAAAGTGAGAACCATATCTTTATTAACTTATCTTCAGTTGTCTGCTGAACCAGCTATAATATAGGTATCTCCAATAGCGCCACAAAATTAATGGTACCATGCGTAGAGCCCTTTTGTGACCATCCCCCAAAAGGTTCCAGCTACAATACCAGGCTAATTTGGTGGTTGAGATTTTGAGTTCTGAAATGTACAAAGACTTTGGATTGTTTGACGATTCCTTTAAAGCTTAGCTTGGAGGAGGAGACAGTTCAAACAACAGACCTGACAGAAAGAGGCAAGGAGAACAGCAGAGCATCGCTTTTCCTCCTAGAATATCAGCTAAAATAAGAAAAGTCAACACTTACTGGTGTTAGTCAGTCAGGTCCTTAAGAGCTCTTGTCTGCTGAATGTTAGAAAGTGTGGTTATCTTCTTCACAACATGGACTGAGAACTTGAATATTCATCTCAGTCTTTTGAGCTAAGTTCTTAATTAGGCATGTGCTTCACGTAATTTTGTTCTTCGTTCTTCTCAGTTCTTTCTCAAATTGATTTGCCTCAGAAGGATGAGGGAGGGTGAGAGGGAGTTTTGGGAGACGAGTGAAAAGTTCCTGTACCTTGAGATTAGATGGAAGTGAGGGTTGAGGGCAGGAGAAAAAGGAGCCTTTCCCTTCAGTCTGGCCCTGTCACATAGTACTGCGTCCTGTTTTGTCACTGTAACCAGCAGCATATTACAGTTTCTTTTGTCCTTGGCTAATGTCTAGCCAGTCAGAAAGAGAGTTGGGTATAAACCCTTAATATCACCTATTCTTGCTGCTGCTGGAGATGGAAGAACTGGGGAAGGCAGTGACACCCAAGCCTGAAATGCAACCCCTACCGGGTACTGGCTCTTCTTGTCTCCATTCTGATTCCTCCCTTAGCTGCAGCCCTTAAATCTCTGATCCTTCTGGTGTTTCCCAGGGCTGTTTTACACCCCTATGAAATCTATAGATAGTTTTAGATACCACAACAGTACTACTGTAGAAATACCACTGCGCTGCGTTTCAAACACAGTTTGAAAAGTACCAAGATGATAAGAAGGTTGTGTGACTATGGTTTGGGATACTCACTGTTTGTTAGTGGCGCTCTCCATTCTGGCCAAAAGGGAAAGGGTTTTACAAGGTTCAGGCTTGTGCCTAAAGGAGTAGAGTGCTGTGAAGTGGGTAAGTGGTATTGGAGCATAGTACTGGCATCGTACATGGCTAGACCATACTGTTGAGTGGTGCTGCCAGTTGCTGCCACTTTGTCAATGCTTTGTGAAGCTGGCTTTGATACGCAGCATCACTCACCAAGTTTCTCTTTATGTATGTGTATGTTCATATTTACATTTTAACTCACTTTTGTTTGAGGTTACTATTAGTAGATGGAGTGAGCACCTTTTTTTTTTTTTCAATGTCAAAGTGAGTTACCGTAGTTAGAGTTCTAAATACTTCTTTTAGGTTTCTGTGGTCAGAAAGCTATTTTTTTTTTTCTCACATAGGTCTTCTAGAGTTCTAAATAATTTTTTTAGGTTTCTGGTCAGAAAGCTATTTCTTTTTCTCACATAGGTCTTCTCACAGTGAAAAATTAATGTACCTACAGTATTGCTAAGAATTTCTGCTGCAAAGACATGCCCAGCTGTCTCTGAATTCTTTCATTTGGGGAAAAAGAATCAAACACATTTTGAACGAAGAGGCTAATAGATTTGTATCTATCCAAAAGTATATTAGGAGGGGAGATTTAATTCTTACCTTTTAAGTGGTAGAACTACAATGCTGTTATGTTGAATTTCAATTTTGGGTGGTAATTCATTCTTGTTAAGGACTTAATGGGATGCTGCCAAAGCACAAGACAGTTGTTCCCATCCTTCTGAAGTCAGTTATGAAGTTTTACTAGTTTGAAACATGAGGGTAATGTCAATATGTATTCTTCTTGCCTATTTCATCTGCTTAACTAATCTTTTAATGCTCTAAAAGTAAACATTACTCATACTTTTGTAGCCTCTCCGAGTCTGAGTTATGATTTAAAAGTTTGAAAGTAATCCATGTTAGTAAATATCTTTGTTTCCTTTTTGAAGTTCTAGGATAACAACATTGACTGGGTTTTCAATGTGTTTTAAGTCTGGTCCGTAGCTGACTAGATTGTATGTGTCCTGTACGACATGGAACTCCTGCTTTGTCTCCTGCCATACTGCAGGCACTTGGCACTAAACAAATTAACAACAGACCTTGCTATACTAAGATAAGAGGCTAATTTTACAGGTACAGCGTTTCATAAATCACATTACAGTTGACAGTTCAGAACTAGAGAATTAATTTATATTTAGAAATCTATTCAAAAGGGAATAGTTGCAGGCTTATTAGAAACAAATGTCACATTGCTGTTTGATACAGATTTCTAGGTCAGAATGACTGATGTTTGTGTGAATTTTCTTATATAAACATGAATAATTACTTTTGAAAGGCCACAGTTTTATCTATGCATGTATCCTTTATAACTGCTTATTTAACATGTAAGAAAGTGTTCCTGAAAATACTGCACTTTTATTTTTTTATTTACTTATTTTTAATGTCACTTCACTGATGCTGTGATAGTTCAGTCAGTGGAAACATGCAAGTTTACTGACATCTGGACTTGAATTTCAATTCTTTTGTTCTTTCACTGTGTAGTTGAAGAAATCTGCTCATGACCTCTGTGAGTTGTACTTCAGATATTAGACTTGCTGCACTGATTAAACAAGTAGGAACTTGATGGGTCATAGTCTTGAATGACATTAGCTTTATTCTCTTGAAATGAGTTAGTTCAAAGTAAACTATTTTGGGAATATTTTTGTGATATTTTGGGAATCCTAGATATAGAAAAGAATTTGATGCAGTTTTAAAATTTGTGTTAGAAGTGATGCGTGTTACTGATGTAAGTGGATACTTCCATAAAATAGACAAAATGAAAGATACAGATAGGCTTTTCTAGTCTTGAATACTAATTGTCTTTGGAAGTCTTTCATGCTAGTTTGCTCATCTAACCTGTTGTCTGTTACAGTATTCCATTCGGTCATGTGGAACCACTTACCTAATGAATATAATCTTTAACACTTCTTTAACTACTGAATTTCACGTTATCTAAATTTCCATTAGAATATCTAATTAGGTGGGTTGGGTTTGTGGATGTTTGTTGTTTCAGAATCGTGTTCACCCAGGCTTTTCTAAGCCTAAACTTTCTTTACAAAGCTTTACAGCATCCATACCCATAGCCATGTTAGTTTGGCATTTCAATGATCATGTAGGAGTTGCAGTTTGGGGTAACCTGCACTGCAATTCTTACAGCAGTCTGATACCTAATTTGAAGAATTAATGGACTCTGTAATAATTGAAGGGTTTTGCTATCTGAAGTTTGAGAAATTGGAAAAAGTATGTGCCAGAAAAATGGAAGATTAATGCCTTGATGGCAATCCATCAATGTTTTTTAATGGTATATAGGCAATGTAGAACTGAAGGTATCCATGGAAGGGCTTTTGTTCTACAAGGGATTTTCTGCAGCAGAGAATGTACAAGCTTCGAAGATTAAACTTCATCTACATAGAATCTATGTTCTGTAGATTATTATTGATTGAAAGAAGGGAATATGCCAAGAACATTAATTTGATAGTGTGAACAAATAGACTGATTCCCTTTGGTGCATATCATTACATTACATTGCCTCTCAATGTTACATGAAATAGAGCAGCAGCAGATGTAGTGGGTAAGCTATCCTGCCTCAGAACGGGACTCTTGCATTGATTATTCCGTGACTCTAATTCTGCGAAGTGATATTCTGGATATGGTAAATACTTAGTTGATAGACTATATTTGAAAACTAGCTTTGAAAAGGAATGCAGAAAATTACAGGAGTGTTTGTCAGAGTGCTAGAACACTTTTTAATGTTTACCAAAAAATCCCCCTCCAAAACGGTAACACTTTATCTGCGTGTATGCACTGGCTGTAGAAATGAAGAAAATACAGTGATTAGTAACTGAGAATTTATAATGTACTTTAAAACTCTATAGATTTAGAGAGCACCATTGTACTTACATACTAAATGAGATGCTAAAGTTCAATTACTTTCTAGGACTTAGAAAACAGATTATTTAAGATGTCCCTAAAACTTAGGTTCCTGATTTTTTTTTTTTTTTTTATTCCCCCCCCCCCCTTTTCCTTTTTTTTTTTTTGGTTTTACTTATAATTAACACATTCTTTTGCCAAGTTGCCCTGTGCCTGGCTGCGGGTCACTTCTCCTGGTAATTAGTAGCCCTCTCCAGCAGTCGTTAGTTGTCCTGATTTGCATAACGTAGCTGTTGGGAGCGAAGGCGTGTGGTGTGGTAGCATCACGCACCTAACGGTACCCAAATACTCATCCTCCGGAACTGCGGTTCTTTTTTTTTTTTTTTTTTTTTTTTTAATTCCCCCACCCCACTTTCCTCTATTTCTTTCTAGGTTTAACTATAGATCAACACATCATCTTGCATCCCATGGGTTTTATGAATTTTTAAATTGGTTTGATGAAAGAGCATGGTATCCACTGGGAAGAATAGTAGGTGGAACTGTAAGTATTGTGATAATAACTTAAAGATGAATTTGCAGTAAGTTTTCTTAACTTTCAATACAATTTGACATTGATAAAAGGAGAATGTTAATAAAATATGCTTTTAATTGTCAAATTGCTGCAGAGGGAATAGCAAAATGTTTTAATTTTTAGCAGCAGGAGACAGTAAGTCAACATGCTTTAATCTTTATCCAGCAGCATACTGTGAAGAAGAAATACAGAACTGAGTTTTACTTCCTCACATATGAACTTCTGATTGTAATAAATAAGGATATTATGACTCTTGTAATTCTGGTGCATAAAAAGAAAAAAGGTCTTTTTGAAAAGCAGTTATCTAAATCTCCAAAGGCATAAGTCTCAATCCAATGATATATATTAAATGGACTTCATGTGTGTGTGGAAGATGGTAGGATTTCACTAGGAAAAGACCTTTTGAAATTAAATCAGTGGGGCACCTGTATGAAGCATCAGGAGTAGGTAAGACTGGTATCAATGCAAGCTGCATGACAGGAAAGGTGTACAAAACAATATTACCAAATCAGAGTACAGTATTGTTCATTGGTAGAATGGCATTAGTAATGCAGAGTAACACAGCCACGTGTTACTTAATGTGTGAAAGTGTGTTAAAACTTCTTAATTATAGTACATGCAATTTAAATGCATTTGCAAATTTTTTTGTAACAATTCGATCACTGTTTGGTTTAGTATCTTAGAGATACTTACTACTTTTTATGTGACATCTGTGAGTTTTTTCCATACTTGTCTTGTACAAAGTTAAAAACTTTAGGAAATAGAATTAAAATGTTGATTGCATACATCATTTTACAAGTCGCATGGTATACTATGTTTTGATAGTTTATCTTGAGAACCAGCTCTCAAGGATATATGCAGGGGAACATTCTGTCATCTGTTAATTTAATTTAGTACAATGCCCTTCTTACCTTTCAAAATAAACTAAGGCAGGTGAAGTACATATTAGCTTTTCTAGTACATATTGATTTTTTTCTAATGTTGATAAATGTGGGAAGGTAGAATTCCTATTAAGAATATTTTAAAGTTCTCCAATATTCTATGATGGGTTCAATAGATTTGTGTAAGTCTATGCTACCTTTCCTGGAGGACATCTTAATTCGATTTTATAGGACTTCATTTTAATCCTTTATATTCAAAGATGTCTACAGATGTCTTGTAAACATATAATAAACGGACTGCACATCAGCTTTAAAGCTTTAAAAAAAATATAAAAAAAATCTTTCTTTGCGGGTAACAAGAAGTGAAAGAGTGGCATGTTATATTTTGGAAGAAAATGTATAGGGCTGGGGAATGTTCTTGGATTTCTTCTTGTTGTCTTTCGGGTTTTTGGTATTGGGTTGTTTTCTTTCCTCTTAAAGCTGTTAGCTGCTTGAAATTATCTCGCAAACTTTAGATTCTGCTTCCATACCTTAACGACAAATTCTTCTCATTATATGATAAATGTCAGGTAGGATAGGATATTATCTCTATGCTGCTTATTCATTTACAAAATGGATTATATGCAAGCATTTGGATAAAATTTAAAGAACCTCTGGTATTCAGCAGTGTTGTTCAAAACATGATTAAAGTAGTATTAAAATAATTCCATTAGCTTTACCTGCTCAGTGCTTGTATCAGCCTAAGAAATGACTGTTTCGTTGCAAATTATATACAAATAAACCTACCATGATTGTTTTCTGCAATAACTTAGTGGGTTTTGCTTTTTTTCCCTCCTTTTAGGTATACCCAGGACTAATGGTGACAGCAGGCCTTATACATTGGATTTTAAATATGCTTAACGTGACAGTCCATATAAGAGATGTATGTGTGTTCCTAGCACCAGTTTTTAGCGGCCTTACAGCTATTTCTACTTTCCTGCTCACCAGAGAACTGTGGAACCAGGGAGCAGGGCTTTTAGCTGCCTGTTTTATTGCCATAGTTCCAGGTTACATATCCCGATCAGTAGCAGGATCATTCGACAATGAAGGCATAGCTATTTTTGCACTGCAGTTCACATACTATTTATGGGTAAGTAATTGCTGAGTCTTTTGCTTTGGAAAGGTTTTTTTGGTTCCTCCTTCCAACCAAATGACTGATTTTGCTTAGAATCCATTGAATTCTCATTTTCCTCCCTCTCATCCATCCCTCTTCCCCTTGGCTGTTGATCAGGCGAGTACTGAGAAGTCACATGAACTGAACCACTTCATAATCATGCTCTTTAATTTGCTATCTAAAAGTACTGTTTAAATGAAGCATGTGTGTCCTGCAGTAGTAGTAATAATAATGGTAAGTCTGAATTTAAAGCAAACAGAATGATTATTTCTGTTTTTCACTTTGGAGGTATTAGTATTACGTGAGCATCAAGCTTTAGCCTCCTTATTTAGCTGGTGAAAAGCAGTAGACTGAATATAAAGTGCTTTGAATTGTCTTCTGGATAAGCTTTTGACTGTATGGAGGGTCTGGGCTTTGACTTAAGCATCCAAATTAAATACCCAAAGCTGTCCAGAGCAAGATATTAATATTGCTTTCATGCTTAAAAAAAATAGTCTGATGTCTTCTAATTAGCCTGCTTGATAGGGAAGTGTGTCTTTCACTCCTTTGTCTGTAGAATTGCATCTATAATGCGGTTTTGTATAAAGGAGTTTAGGCAACGTGGAGTTTTTCTGGACAGCTGCATCTATTTTGAAAATACTGCAAGTAGAATAACTATATTGTTAATTCACCTTAGAGACTGTATGGTACTGTCCTTTGCACGTTCCTTGAGTGCATGAACTTTCATTTTGAATGTCTCCATGTGTGTACATGCTCTGTTGCAGCTTTTCCCATTATTTTGTCCAGAGTTCTACTTTTCATAAGTAGATGCATACTCACAGGTTTTTTTTTTTTTAGCTTAACAATATTCTAAGTTTGAAATATTCTAGGTAGAACTAAAATGTAATAGAAGAGAATTCAAGTTTTTCATGACTGAGTGATTGATGTTGCATAAATGCAGCTTTTTTAAATCTGGACTTAGAAGAAACTGCAGCTGTAAAGGTGTACTGCATTTGATAACAATAATAGAATCCACCTATGTTGTTACTCTCTAACAGTTAAAGCATGATAGCAGTTATCTGTTCTTGTAACTGCATAGTGCAGTAATGGTTGCATGAACTCTTGTAGAATTATGTGAATCAAATATATTTTATAGATAACTTTCTCGCTTTATTTGATGTCCTGTTTTCATTCCTATTTTACCACACCACAATCACCACCATCATTTTTGGACAAAATCATACTCCTGGGCCGTTTATGGATCCTGCTAAACCTTTAGTAGGTTCTGGATGCTCTCATTAACCTTAAGGGATGTTTTTAAAATTACGGAATAGCTCTTTTGTCTATAATTGCAGAGTTGGGTCTGATGCCAGGCAAAGTCAGTTGTGGATAGTCTACACTTAGTCTTAGATTTAGTCTAATGTCTTTGAGAAAGGAGCACAGAGTACTGCAACAACTTTTCTAGTTCAGCTCACGAAACAGAGTGTTGCATTGCAACCTGCCTCTGCTTTAACTAGAGAGACAGGTATAAGTGGTTTTGTGTGTGAATGAATTGCACTTGTGATTTGGTTGTATGAGCATCAGTTCAAAAGCATACAAATATAACTTGATATGTGTTAAAGAATTTCTCTTGACAGTTGTTTTGGAATTAAATTTTGGAATATTGTCCGGTATTTGTTTGTAATTCATAAATACTTTATTATCTTTAAAGGTGAAGTCTGTGAAAACTGGATCGGTCTTTTGGACAATCTGCTGCTGTCTATCCTACTTTTATATGGTAAGCCTTTATATATATACACTAGTTAAACTATTAGAGTAGGGCTTGCGTAATCCATATGTTGATGAAGAACAGAAGATTTTAGTCTTTGTTGGAGCCATAATATAAAATCATTGCTTCATATTACTAATAAAACCTTAAATATATGAGTTAAAAGGCATGATAAATATTTTGAAATTTAAAGCATTTAAATAAACACAGTAAAAACAATTTTTTAAAAAACTCTTAAGTAGTGCAACTTACAAAATTATCCTATGCTGTGAAAAGGTTCTCTGATTCAGTGGGATCTTTGTTTTGATGTTTTGAAGGTGAATTAAGGTGGAATTTTGATATTCTTGTGTCTGTGTGTCATTATTATTAAATGCAATAATAATAATATTTAAAATTTATGGACAAAGTGACACATATATAACTTTGAAAACTATTTCTTTGGGTATAATTATGCCATAAAGTAAAGCCACCATAACAGTTGAATTAATTCAGTCTCAGATTAAATGATCATAAAGTCCCTTTTCATTCTTGATCTGTGAAAACGGAGGCTGTTACAGAGATGTTCCTAAGGGCTAGCAGAGGGGGAAAACAGTAGTAAAACTGAGGACATAAAACTAATAGCAAAACAGAGAAAATTGGTTTACCCCCTTTTCCACCTTCTGAAACCTTAGACTTGAAGAATTTTCCTGTATGAATCCGTCAAAGGTCCTTTTTTCCTGTGATAAACTTTTTTTTTTTGTGTGTGTCTATTTGAAAAATAAGTTATCCTCAAACAAACCAGTGGTGGGACAGTCAGGCTAACTGCTTGATGTTGGTTAAGATTGACGTCTCAATTACTGCTTTTCTACAGTCAGGTAACTAGGCTTGCAAGGAAAAAGGTATTTATGAACAGTTTTGCATGCCTTAATTTAAAGTACAGCATTTATTCAGAGGTTATCTGGATGCTGCCTGGATTTCCTCTGGCTTATAATGTTCATTGGGTTTTCTGGGTGATTTTTACTGTTAATATAGCAAATAATAGTCCTGTATATGTTGCCAAAGAGGATAGCTATCTCCTGTTAAGGGTACATTCTTCCCCTATTTTTCTTCCACTTTGGCAAGTCATTAAATAAGCAGCCACTTCTTTATACACATAGCTTCGCTGTTTATATACTGTTACAGTGAAGAGATCCTGTAGGTTTGGTACGCGCTTATGTGCAGTACAAAATCAGGCAAGTAAGTTTTTGAATTGTTATGTTTATTTATGTCTTTTTTTATATTGTGTCAATTTATTGACAGGATCCTCTAAAAGTTCTCTTCATAAATATGCAGATTACAAACACGATACTTTTACAGTTTCACTGCTGAAAAATCACATGGTAACAAGTTCTTCCCATCTTAGGCTGACTAAGGTCTTGGTCTGCGCTATTTGTACCAGAGGGAGGGGATGTGACATAGAATGTGCATGATGACAGGTCATATGGAATCAATGTCATCATCATGACATTCAATTTTTGAATGTAAATTAATGTGGGTTTTCTTCTTTTATTTTCCTTTCAAGTGCTGTCAGCTAGTGAAAGGTTAAGATTTGTCCCTATCTTAGCCTCAGTGATTAGGTGATAGATTTGTACTGCTTACAGAGTGCTTACTTCATCCCTGGTGGCTTTCTGTATATTGTATTTCCCTTTGGAAAAAGTTGTGTTAAAATGCCCTTCTAGACATTTTGCTTAGGTAAATTTTTAGGACAAAACATAATTGTACTATTCATTATATAGTATTCATTTGCCCTTCTCTGATGGAATTAGTTCTGTTGTCAGTGTAAGGTGAAAATGAAATCAAATCACAATCTTGAGGTAATAAGAGTCAGTCCTTGCATGGGGAGTTTGGGGAACAGCTCCTTGAAAGAACAGGTATAGCATGGGCTGACAGAAATCTTTCTTGATAATTAAATCTGCTTAATATATGTAGCTAATTCACAATGGTAATTTGACTCATAGGATTGCATTGCATTCCATAAGGTGAAGAGGTTTTTCCTTGTGTTTATGTTTTTAGCATTTATTTGACTTCAGTAACTTCTGCTTCAGATAGCTTTTTATGACAAGGAGGTAAAATTAAACAAAGCTTTACACTGAAACAATCCTTGTATAAGTAATAGCTTGTTTTCACTCTTTATGCCCATCTATGAGGATGCCTTAGTTCTGTTTGAAAAGTTCCAAAATGCTTCTTCAATTCAGTACAATCTTAGGTGCTTAGATTCGATTTAATTTAATATTTTGATAATTGGAGATGCAGGTCTCTGGTCCATACAAACTGTCTGCTACCTGCTTCATTCAAACCTTTTCCTAATTATAACGTCCTAATTGCATATTTGTTCTTATTCTATTCTGTATTACCTATCTTCGTATCATATTTTCTCGTATTAAATAAACTTACCTGTGTAAACCATGATGCTTCATGCTACTAATTTGGCTATAGGATCTGGATGATCTGAAATGAGTTTCTAGAAAGCTTCTACATTTCTAGTCCACTTGTTTCACATTGTCTGAGTTGGTTACCCCGAATTTTGAAAGGCTGGGGTTTGTAGTATTAGTATCAAAAAAAAGTATTCCTTGGCCTTGTCCTTATTTTAGAATCTGTTCTATAGAACATAGTCATTTGGGTTTCTTTTTGGATTCTAGGGCTTTAAAAATAGTCGCATGAATCTAAGCCCTAAAGTACAATTAAAGTGAAAACCACATTAGCTTCTGCATTCTAAAAATGAAGATCTAGGGTAGGCATGGTGCATATGGGAGAAGTCTAGACTGTAATTTGGAAAGGGGACATGTGTTTAAATACAGATTGTCTAGTCAACATTAGCCCTTCTAAATATGTCAGAAATTTAGATAACGCACTGTAATGATATCTCATTAAATCTTTATCTAAATCAGCAATCAGTGATGTATTGATAACATTGTAGTGTTTCAGTTCCAAGTACACCATACCAGCACTTCTCAAGTGCTGCTGTGACTACAGGTTCGCAACATCCATTGTATGATTGTACGCAATGCCACAGTGCTCAGCCCCGCTTCCCTGGGCATCCACACCCTTCCTTTTATTCCTTCCCTTACACGGCAACCTGTTCTGCTCCTGGAGGGGTGTACCTTGCTCCCTTTCTCCTCTCTGGCTGGAGATACTGTTAGCTGTCCCCAGCAGAGCACAGTACTAAATTTGTGTCTACTTGGGAGTTACGCCGCTGCCTTGTGCTGCAGCCTTTTCACGTGAGGAAAACACCTCAGCATCACATTCTTCTTTGCCAGCGTGATCATATCGGCTTGGGAGGAGGAGATAGAGGAAAGATAGCTTTGAAAATCCACCAGCCCATTTCAAAAGTCTTTAGTATGTTGATATGTGGGGGTTTTGTTGAGTTTTTATTCTTTGTTGATAATAAATATTGAGAAAGACAAGCAGCCAGAGCTGCCAATAATACAACCAAAATCTAAGTGGAGTTTTTGTTTTCTTACTAGACTTTCAGAATGTATAAATCCAGCATTGGCTATCCTAGGAATTCTGCCAGTATTTTCAGATCTGGTTTCCTGTTCCATTCCTCACAGGTCTCTGCATGGGGTGGTTATGTTTTCATCATCAACCTTATTCCACTGCACGTGTTCGTTCTGTTGCTGATGCAGAGATACAGCAGGAGGGTCTACATTGGTAAGTTTTGTTTAGTGAACGTTCTCAAATGCTTAATCATGAGACAGAAAATTAATTATATGGATGTGTTTTGTATCAAGGGAGAACTAAGTAATTGCATAACAGGTTGCATTTTATTAATTTGACTGCTGATTATAGTCAATTATTCTCTACAACGTGAAAATGAGGGGTAAAAACATACTCACACTTCCAAGATTTCATGTATGAAGCTGTTAATTTTCTTCTTTCTTGTTCACTAAAAAGAAAAATAACAATTGGATGGATTGATATTTGTAGAACTCTTTTAATATATTTTATAGATATATTATGTGTCTGTAATAATGTTTCATATTTTTCCTTTTCCTAGTATGTTAAACAATTGCTATTTTAAAAGGTTGTGCAGCAGAAATTGTAAAAACATACAGTATATTGTGACATATATGATAAGAAAAGACATAGGGAATTTTAAGCAGCCATGTATGTTTTATATAACATAGACTGAAAAGTAGTGTAAGAGTCTGTCCACTCCACATGAATCCTTAAGATCCTGGGTTAATGGGTCAGCCTTCCTTCCGGTTCCAGAAATTCATGAATAGTGATCTTAGGAGACTAATATTATTTTTTTTTTATTTATTTGCCTGACATTTAAGTACTCTGTAAACTGTCTTTAGAGAGACTTCACCAGTTAAATCAGTTGGCTATGGTGTAGGTCTGTGAATGAAATAAATAATAAGCAATTAGAATATTCAAAGATTTATAAGACAGCTAGAATATTTTTGACTCCCTATGTGAAATCTTTATAATAGATAGTTTGAGAACGTAGTATGAGTTGAAGTGTAATATCACAGGACATTTAATATTTGTAAATGTATTTTTGTTACCCATTTTAATACTGCTTTATCTTTGTATTTTTAATTAGTTTAATGCTTTTTTTTAGTGCCTACTACAGAAATTAAATATATATTTAAACCATTATGTACTATAATAATTACTCAATTAACTTGAGTTCAGTTTTGTATTTTTGTTACAGAAACTATAAATACAGGTTTCATGCTTCTTTGTTCATCTATTTATGTAATTTGGAAACAGAAATTCTTTTAAAAAAGGAAAAAACATCTAACCCATTTTTAATGTTAGTATTACTTAAGTTCTTCACTAACTGCTTCTTCATAACTTAAGGGGAAAGTGATTTATCTTGTTTAGCTTTTAAAATTGTTTTATTGAATATTTTCATTTTCCAATTTCTGTGAGTTAGGCAAGAGAAAATTAAATCTACTAATTATAAAATCCTGAAGCTATATGGTAACCAGAAACAATAAAGAATAAATACTCTTGCCTTTTCTGCTTTCAATGAACTAGTCTTTGAACTAGTCTGGGGAAAACAGTACTGCAGGTTCATATGAATTAAAGGTTTTGGCAGACGTTTGTTTTGCAAATAGCTACAGTGTTTTGAGATGTTATTGCCCTTCAGCTGTACTTCAGCAGAGTTGTCAGAATGAAAATGTAATTGCTGCTCTGCTGTTTCATTGCAACTGCTGGCTTAATTTAAGCTTTCATGGGAAGTCTTACACACATAGAAGGCTGTATGTGTCGCATTAGTATGTGATTCTAGGTTTGTTTAACAGGATGTTTTTGTAAAACAGGTAAGAATGTTCAAGCACTTCTGAGAGGAAATTCAAGTGTTCTTCACTTGCAAACTATTCAGATAGGGAGAAGAGTTTACAAAGGTTCATTGAAATAGGGAGAATAAAGATATTTTTGTAGTTTCTGTGATACGCAGTTGCTAGTGTGCCTGTGGCAGTCTCCTAATTCTCAAAAAAACTACCAATGTGCAGCTAATATCTGTAAACTATTGTCAGCCAACAGTAGCTAGTAAAATCTGCATCCATTTTACTATTACTGAGAATTTGGGGGGTTTTAATCTCGAGATCAGTTGCATAATTTTATTTAAAACTAGTTTAACTTTTGTAACAGATGAATGTTTAGTCTAACATAACGTAAATGTAGAGGACAGTATCTGGCAGCACCAAGTTTTTAAAAATAGTGATGGATTCCTGGTATATATTTTTCATGTGTGTGTTCATACACCAAAGGAAAGGTTAATGGGACATGATCTGATATGCCTGGCAGTGTAATTCAGAATCATTTAATGACTAAGAATTTCCCAGAACGTGAACCTTTTGCCAATTTTAAAATATTGTACCACTTGCATGCAGATGAATTTATCAGCCAGATAACTTCTGACCCACTTGGCATCAGTGGTGATCATGCTTCCTACACTTGAAAGCTTAAGATGTGCTGCTTTTTTTTTTTTTTTTTTTTTTTTTTGTTTAGCTATCTATCAAAATGAATATTTTTTTCTAAGAAAATTCCCTTTAGAAAGAAGGAAGTAGAAGAGAACAAAGGCAAACAGCCTGTGACAATGACTCATTATGTTCCTTATAAATTATAGCTGTGAAGTCAATGCAAATTGTTTCTCACAGTTTCAAAACCCACTATAAGACAATAACTTAGGGCTATAGTTTTTTTTTTTTTTTTTTTTTTTTTAAGTCCTTGACAGTAGTCAGTATCTTTCATTCAGATCTTACTGGCTTAATAATTAAGAAGTGCTTATGATCCCAGTTTATTAGCATTAGCAGAGCTTGTATGGGTAAAAAACCCTTTATTCTGATAAAGGAACTGTTGATATTATGTTCTATTATTGCTTGTAGTTTCTCTTGCAGTTTACTGTATCTTTAAAAAGTAAATGGTTTTACATTTGGAAAGGTACCGATATATATAGATTTAAATTATGCTTTGCACACTTTAGAGACTTGGTAGTTTTCATTTCAATCTGGTTTGGGTTTTGGGTTTTTCTCTGTACAATTTAAAGTTCTGTATACTTTTCAAAATGTTTAATAATAAAATGACTCAAGGATCTTCCAGAATTTAAAACTTAATTTCAATAACTCTTTGTTCTATGTATTGGATTTTATAATTTAAATAGTAAGTGAGCATATATATTTATATCAGCTGCTTCAGTGTTCTAAAACTTCAGATGATTAGTGTTTATTTCTGATTATTATAATGCATCAATTGAAAATGTGGTCAATATTGGATTGTACTCTGGAGAAATTTTTCAGTAGGTTTTTCCTGTTTGTGCAGGATTCTTTGTAAAATGAGTTTGTCCATAGTAGGTCAGAATGTTTTTGTTGTTGACCTAGTCAAAGCCATAACCTTGAGAATGGATTGGAGGGATCAAAATCAATGTCTTGTTTTTGCAAAGACTGTGCAAACAATAGAATGTAAAGGAACGTGGAAAGCTTGAGATGATATATCACCTTGATATAGCCAAGTTCCTAGAAAAATTGCATTGCTGGGGAAATTGCTCCCTCCTGCTCCCCACCCCCCAATACTAGGCAGACATATGGGATAGCTTTTTGAAAGAAGTGGGAAGTGAGGAATGGAGGAGGGAGAAGGGCATAGAAAGTATAACAGTTGCAAGCCTAGGCTACAACTGTTACACCTACAGTGGTCTAACAAATGTGAAATGTAGTGATTTATGCCAATCACTGAACTTCCACAGGATGGCAGTGTTGTAATACTTTCATGGTACAATAAATGATTTATGTTGTAGTGAATTCTTAAAAATTGAGCATTTTACAGCAAAAATGTATTTCAGTGGCATAAGAGGGACTAGATCAGTAGCTAGGCAAAGTGGTGCAATACAGACGCTTGAAAGAGTACACCAGAGAAGACAGAAGGTGGCTGGAAGTACCATCACAGTCACTTGTGTGACTTTTGGAAAGCCTAGGATACCCTGGGAGCATAATCCCCCAGTGAGAACCACACAGGTGCTATGGAAGCAGCACCACTGGTAAATGACATGCTCCACAAGCCTGTTCTCATGGAGGTTAGCAAAGGATTGTATGAGCACAGAGATATCCTCATAAGATTGAGGCTGTAATAGAGACAGTGGTTTATGATTTGTAGGAATTTAAAAATCTGGGTGGAGGATTTTTGCTGTTTGCCTCTGAAGGAACAAAACTTTGTTTGGACTTTAGGTTGGCTGGTTATGTCAAATGTGATCAGACTTAGAGTTGATATTTCTCTCTTCCACTCCCTTCTCTCCTTGACTGTGGAATACTGAGGACCCAAACCCTGTCCAAAAAAAAAGTACATGAATTTTAATACATACATACTAATCATTCATATTATTAATATTAATATAAATTATTTTCTTGGCCTCTACTTTCTGAGGGGCTATGAGTCCCCATTGTTGATATAGATCCATTAATGCATATGCTTAGAATTAATTTTTAATTCTATTGCTTTTCAGTTTCTTGGCATGCCTCTGCTCTTGTGGTTTTTTTTTAAAAAAAAACAACCACCAAAACAAAAACAAAAAAACAAGCAAACCTCTTTGAATTTTCTCAATAAGCAGTGGACTCTTAAATGTTCTTTTTCTTTGAGGTCTGGTCTCTTCAATTTCTCCTCATATAGAAAGTCTTCTTTTGTCATTTGTTATCTGAGAGCTATTTCTCCCACCCATGACTCACAAAAACAAGATGGGAAGAGAAAACTGTATTTCCAACTAGCCTCTTAGGTAGATGGTTTATTTCCCTAGGAGGAGAAAAGACAGTGCAATTAGGAACAATACTTTGCTACTTCCTCTAACATTCAATACAATTTATTCTACCCAAAGGAGGAAAAAATAATTGGGGTGGCTGATATATTTAGAGTGACAGGGTTCTGTTTCAATGTCAGTGAAGTTGGGGGGAGGATGGACTCTACTGTGGAACCAATGCTTTTTGAAATGCATGTATTCACCTTCTTCCCACCTTTCTCTTCTTCCCCTCTCTTCACTCTTTTTTTTTTTCTAGCATATAGCACTTTCTACATTGTGGGATTAATATTATCGATGCAGATACCTTTTGTGGGCTTTCAGCCAATTAGAACAAGTGAACACATGGCAGCTGCAGGTAAGAAAATTAAATGTCTGCTTCCAAACAGCCTGCTTAGCACAAGACAACCTCAAACCCTTGCGGCTCTGTTTCCTTGTGTTAGAAAGAACACATACTAACAAACCAAATTGTTAGAGAAAAAGAGCTACAATTTAGTGTCTGTAGGGAAGTTTTCTTTCCAATTGACACATTATACTCCTTTCTGTGAGCTAATGGAGGTAAAATGCCTCCATAACACTGGATCAGTTACATGTTCTGACAAGCATTTATTTTACATATTGATAATCTCTGCTGTTTTGCAATGTAATGTTGCCTTCGAGCATTGTACAATTGAAACATTCCTTATTGGTAAGCACAGATTTTACTGAGCAATTTGGTTTTAGAGTTGATAGTCTTCTGTAATTTTTCAAAGTGGGTTAAATACAAATGACTTAAAAATCAGCCTCCTGATTAGTAATTTAAATAATTGATTTCAATATTGTTTGATTCTTTTTATTTCTTTAAACTAAGTTGATTTTTCAATTGTTGTTAAGTCAGACATCTTGATTTCTTGACAACAGTAACCTCTCCTGAGACTGATAGGTTTATGTTTAACTGCATACGCTGTTTGTGTGGTGTAGTTTAGTTTGTTAGATTCCTCAGGTTTTTTTTTATGTATAGTCACCTATCAAAACGTATTTAAGACAGCAATTGGAATATCATTAAAATTTACCAGAAAAATACATTTTAAGTGGAGATTTTTTTCAACGGTCTGAATATAATGTAAAGTGTAAATATTGTCAAACCGTATTTTGCGTTTGAAGAATTTTGCATGTATTTAGGCAATAGAGTTAGTTAACCAGTGTTTTTGCCATAATCAATGCAATCTAGTTTTCAGATTATTTTTCTCCCTTGCTCCAATTTAATTTGGGAGCAAAGAGGGGAGTGGGTGTTGGAGCTCTTGGTACCATATTTTGGCAATATTTTGGAGAGCATTTTCTCCCATTGCAAGTTTCTGTCATTGCAAGACAGTATCATCCCTGTTAAGTATTAAAGGGTATTTGTCAGAAAGTGATTTTATACTAGTTTTTAGATGTAAGGGTGTACCCTACATTTATTTTTCTAATTCATCTGTAGTCAAAGTATGTCAATTGTTTGAACAGCTGTTGCATTTAAACAAAAACTTTCCTCTTTCTTTAGGTGTTTTTGCACTGCTGCAGGCATATGCTTTTTTGCAGTATCTGAGAGACAGATTAACAAAGCAAGAATTTCAGACATTGTTCTTCTTGGGTGTCTCACTAGCTGCTGGTATTGTATTCCTGAGCGTCATCTATTTGACATACACAGGTAAATTCATGTGAAACTAGTTGACCTTTGAAGCATGTAAACTGGATGACCAATGTTTGGTTTACAAGTAGTTACTAAACAAGTAGTTTACAAGTAGTTGTTGGCAATGCCACAGCAAACCAGTGTGCATGTTACTCTGTATTACTGTGTTGGGATTCACTGTGCTTTCTGGGCTGCAGGAAAAGAACCACACATCTTTGCAGCATCGTTCCAATATTTCAGGTTTATCTGCAATCCCCATGATGATGCAAGAAGTCAGACTGGATGAGGAACATAACTATAGCCAAAGCATATTATGAAGATATATATAGCTAATTTATTCTGAATAGCATTGATCACTCAAAGTCAGATTGCTTGCTCTATGAAATACTTGAACATGATTCCTGTGTGTCTGGAATTAATCTGCAAGTTCTACTTTAGAATACTTAGCATCTCTGTTTGTTTGGAAGTCTTCTAAAACTTGATGGTTTATGATTTGCCTTTCAGTACATATGAGCAGTTCCTACTAAATAATTAATAAAATATTTCAGACTGGCATCACAACAAAATGCGGCTTCTAATCTTAGTGTGCCGCTAAATATGTCTTCTGTTTCAGTTCTTAGGAAATGATTTCAACTTTCAACTGAAATTTACTGATCGGTATCAGTGCTTCTGCAGATGGAGCAAACCTCATTGCCTCAGCTTCTCCTGCTGTGCTGTGAGCTCTGGGCTCCTGACCATCTCGCAGCGCTCTAATCCCTTTCTGCTTTCTTAATAATCCTCTTGCAGAAGGGTGCCCACGTCTGGACCCTGTATCCCAGGTGCAGCAACTGGAAGAAGAGGTTTGAGGTTGTGAAGTCCTGCCTGCCATGAGGCATGTTAGCTACTCTCTTCAGTTTAGCACTGATCATCTTTTGGCCTCTGGGGTATTTTCACTTTTTACCAGCCACCAGCTGGACCCTGATCCACTGACTACAGCTTTGAGCTTGTCAGTACAGACAATTTTCAATCCATCAAATGGTCTGTTTGTCCGGCCTATTCTTTAGCTTATAAATGAGAAATGAGGAAAATGGTTTAAAAAGCATTTAATAATGTATTTCAGGAGGCTGTGCTCCAAGATCTTTTCAGGGATTCAGGTTACTGGCCTGTAGTTCCCTGCGTATTCCTTTTTGCCTTTCCTAGAGTTGTAGCATTAGCCATTTACGTCCTCCAAGGGCCTCCCTTATCACTGTGATGGAGATGGTGGGTACTTATCACGTTGGCCAACTCTTTCAGCACACCTCAGATGAATGCCATCTAATGTCATGTTTTGGATACATTCAGAGAAGACCATAATCAGTAGTTCCCCATCTGCTGGCAGCTCCTTCTTGTGCACGCAGTAGGTTGGGAGCAAGCTTTACATCTGAAGACTTGAAGGGAAACATGTCTTGCAAAATATTAACTACAATATTTAAATGTCTAAACTACATATTGCACTAAAACTTTCATTCAAATTATACTAATTTTAAATATCAGGTAGAGTTACTGTGTCATTCTCAAAGTCTTGGGTAATGAATAAAAGGGTTTAACTTTCTCTTTTTTCAGTTTGTATCTGTCTTCAGAAGGAGCTGAAACAGATGCAAGGAAAGTGAAAATAAAATTTAAGAAGAATCTTACCAATAACTCTAAATATTGATTTTTATCTTTCATAATAAGTGTTTCGTTTCATCTTATATTATTCAAGTATCTAAAGGCTTTATTTAAAAAAAATATTTAAAGCTTATCAGCATGTCTAGTAGCAACTTTTCTATCCCATGCCAAAGAGAAACAATTGGAAAACAGTGCTTCATTGAGTAATACTGTTTTGGCTATAGATTGTTGCCAGTTTCCTGCTCAGATATTTTAGAAGAATTAATTACTTTCTTATCAATTAACTTTTCTTTTTCTTATACTTCCTTATGGACTATAGGTTGCTATCTGTCATATTCTTTGAGAAATATTTTCATTATTATTGCATTACTTTGATTTTGGAGGTGGTGTGTGTCTTGATACTCAACAAGTACAGTGTGATCCTGTGAGTGTATGCTTCTAAAACTAGCTTCATGGTTGGTAGACTTTATAGGCTGCCTAATGCAGTAGTTCACATATATTACAAGTTAATGAAATTTCTTTGGTTTTGTACTGGAAAAATTACAGCATTTAAATACCTAGGCAGCAAAATGTTTTTTTCCCCATTATCTTTTTCAGGTTATATTGCTCCTTGGAGTGGCAGATTTTATTCATTGTGGGACACTGGGTAAGTAGGGATAAAGGATATAAGGATTTAGATATCAATAGCATTCTACTGGAAACTAATAATCTTTTGCTCTCATCATCCTCGAATTTATTTAGTTTATCAGTCAAGGAGATTAGAGTGGGCTTTACTCAGTTATCTAAAGAGAGCATTTATAGTGACTGTTTAATGATCTTTGCAACCTTTTCACTAATTTGTCTTACTAAATTTCTTACTACTTTTGGAAGTCTTTGAATATGGAAAGGTATGCTTTTTTCTATATGAAATGTAGTGCTTCTTGGCATAAAATGAACAAAAGTTGTATCAACACTTGAAGACACATTTAAAAATTACTAAGAGTCTTAAACTTATGCTATTTTCATTGTGCAACATTGCATGACATCGCAAAGATGTTGCACATACGATCTTGCATGTTGCCTGTTCACTGTGTTCATACATCTGTTTTGAGTATACAGATGTCTACTCTGAACAATTCTGGTCTATTCATGTATGTTTTCATGGGTAAAAACCCGTGCTAGTTAACTCTTTGTTTTAGTAAATCTTTAAAACTCCAATCTTGGATTCTTTAGCCAGCCGGGATAATAGGAATAAAGCTGAAGGTATTTTTTTCAGACAAGTATTTGAGGTGTAATTCAATTGATAGATATTTTTTTATTATTTTTTTTAAGATTAAAAGCAGGGGTAGGAGAACTTAAAACTTTTGCAGTTCAGTTTTTTTCAAGCTTCTAAGTGCATTTCATACAGATTCTGTACTAACTCTGTGATAAATGTAGTAGAGTAAGTGTCAGTAAAGAAGCCTCAGATTTATTTGAAGAAATCTATATGTTGTTCTGTGCCTATAAATGAAGTGGTCTATACATATACAAAGCAGTAAACTTTTGAGGGCTTGTCTACATTAGAAAATCATATTGTGTTAAAACACACAACGCGGTTTTGAATGAGCACTAGATCTCAGTGAAGAAAAGGACATATGTTTGACACCTCTGTAGCACCTGGATTAGGTCCATACATAGAGCTGTCTTTAATACAGCACACAGTTTTGTCCTTGTCTGCACTGAGTATTTGACATGGTGTTTGGCTGACACATATTTCCAAGTGTAGACAAGGCCTGATTTACTCAGCATCTAAAAGGATGTGGGGGCATCAGTAACTGGTCCGGTATTTAAAACCATAACTTTCTGTACTAATTAAACAAAGGTATTCTGTGTAGAGGAGAGTTTTCAAAATGCAGTGTTGAAAATCTAGTAGGCTTACTGGCATGGATGATTATGTCTTCAAAATTTAATGATGGGGCTTCCGTAGCTGCGTGTTGTCATTTTGATTAATTAGGCTTCATATTTAGCCATAATAATAATTTAAAACCCCATAATTTTCATTCTTTTAATTAGTATGAAAATAATCCTTTATATTGGTGTTTTAAATAACTCTGTACACCATATACTTCCTAAATACAGTAAGACCTGGGGACTTTTTTTTGGTATGAGAGTTTCATCAGATTTCTACTGAATAGAGAGAGTGCTTGCCATTTTAAATTGAAATGCTTCCTTTGAAATGAGTTTCAGAATTCCTAATGTTTACAAGTTTAAATAACTTTATCTTTTCAAAATAATTTGAACTGAATTTTTTTCAAAAAAGGTATGCGAAAATTCACATCCCGATCATTGCCTCTGTGTCTGAGCATCAGCCTACAACATGGGTTTCCTTCTTTTTTGATCTGCATATTCTCGTGTGTACTTTCCCAGCAGGGCTGTGGTTCTGTATCAAAAACATCAATGATGAAAGAGTCTTTGGTAAGAAAAAATATTTTTAAATTGTTTTGAAAAATCTTGTCTTCAACTTGATTCTATTTTGGTTTTGTTTGCTCAAAGCTGGTATGTGGCTAGTTCTAAAAGGAGGTTTATAAGTGATGTGTTTAAAGGTGATAATTAGAAATTGCCTGCACCCAGCAGTACTTAAAACCTTTATAAAAATGCAGAGATTGGTGAAATGGTAATGGAGTGTTGTCCCAAGAGGTGGGATTGAAATATTTGTCAGTATGGGTGTGTTCTGCAGCTGGAGTTGCATGTTCCATACCCTGATCCTGCAAACCATGATGGGGTGCAGTTCCACAGTGCAGTTCAGCCAGACAAACAACACACTGCATGGGGAAGGTCCCAATCCTGCACAGGTCACAAGGCAGCAACTCTTCCTTGGGTGTCTGGCACTCATCCCATCACAGGTGATGTTTCAAAATGCCTTTTCTTTCCAGATTTTCTGCTGTTTTAGTGAATGGAATCACTTGCTGTGGAACGAGTGCTAGATAAGGCACAAGCCTGAGAGGAGGTGTGGGATCTCCCAATGTTGGTGACAACGAATAGTTTATTTGTACAAAGCTGTACTGTGAAAGCAGACTTTAAGACTATGAATGAGGGTATAATTTGAAGTTGTGGCCCATATGGAAGAGTGAAGATCACTCGGGACTTGGGCTTTCATAGGGACAGGAGGCTCCAGACTAATAGAGCTGCCTCTTAGGATTACCTAAGAAGTATGTGAGCAGTGAGAGCATTTACTGTGTTAAATCCAGCAACTCTGGGGCATTCTGTGCTCTGTGGCTTACAACGAGCCCCTGTCAAGACCAGTGCTGGGCAACTCACTTTCAGCTTCCCACTTCTGCATCACCCATTTAAGTCAGCATAGAGAGACCTATGAATGAGAATGGAGAGCCATGCTACTTTCCTACACAATAGAAAATATTTCTGTAATGTAAGCTGATAAACCAGTATCACTTGATGAGTCCTGTGACAAGTGTTTCATAAGAGTATATTTTAAACTGTAGCAGGCAATGAATAAGAACTATTATTTGAACAACAGATGTTCCTAACCAGTGCGTACAGGTTTGTTTGGGTTTTTCTCCCTCCTAAAAAAAGTGTTCTGGATATTTCTTACTATTCTGAAAATCTTGGTTTGGGATTTTTTGGGGAGGGGAGTGGAGATAACATTGTTCAGGAAAACTTGCTTCAGAATAGGGCTCAGAATATTGTATTATTTGTCTGTATGGAATTATAATGTAGACAAGCCCCCAATTTGTCCACAGATATCTCTAACTTAAATTAAAATTTAATATTTACATGAAACTCTAACACTTCCTTTTGCTTTTTCAGTTTGAATAACTTGTTTGTTCTAGGGCTGTTTGACCTGTTCAATCAAATGAAGCTACGTATTATTCCAGTAGCATTCTTGGTGTGTGATATTAAACTTCACTAATAATCTATCTTCTGACACGTTATTAATGAATATGAAGATGGGGTTGCTTTATTGTTAACAGTTGTCAAGATGGACTTCAGGAAGGGTTTGAGGCTTAATAGGGAAAAACGTTAATTGAACTGTATCTCTGTAAATTAAAAAGCAATGAAATGCAGGATGCATACCCAAGGCTTTATATGCACATATGCTCGACCTGCTTCCAGTAGTAGTTTTATGGGGAGCGTGTACGTGTGCAGTCAGAACGAGTGTGATTTCCTAAATGTCACCAGTAGATGTGTCTCTTTGCAGTTGCTCTGTACGCAATCAGTGCCGTTTACTTTGCCGGTGTGATGGTTCGGCTGATGCTCACTTTGACTCCCGTGGTCTGCATGCTGTCTGCAATTGCTTTCTCCAATGTCTTTGAGCGTTATTTGGGTGATGATATGAAGAGGGAAAATCCACCAATAGAGGACAGCAGTGATGAGGATGACAAGAGGAACCCTGGCAACCTGTATGATAAGGTGAGGAAAGGGACCAAAAGTTAGAAACCAGCTGCTTTTGTTCTTTTTTTTTTTTTTCTTAGAAAGCCTTAAATACTACTATTGGTCTGAATCATTAGCGTTTAAATTTAGAACAAATATTTATGTTGAAAAAAAAAGTCAGTGTCAGTGTAGAAGTTGTTGTTTCCAGCTTGGTCAGTGCTGAGCCTTTAACCTACAGGAAGTGTCCATAGTTGACTACTAGTATTCTGTACTTTCTACAGAAGCTATGGCAGACAGTTGCTCGCTCTCCTTAACTAGTTACAGCAGCTCTGTCTCTGAATGCTTACCTCTTGCATTTCCTCTAACACATGGTGAAATTAAAGAATGATATATTTTATGAAAAAAATATTTCTATTCATAAACCTGCATACTGTCTTGATCATGAAGAAAATCCTGTTAGGGACTAATTTTTTTTTATCTCTTAGACTTTGTTATAAGGACCCTGACAGTGCATTAGCCTTGGGTTTCCCCCCTTTTCCTCACAGGAAATATCTGTGCCTTTCTTTTTACCACCCTGCCTTATAAAAGGGCATCATCGTACTGAGCCAAACCAAGGAAGTCATGCATTGACCCTCACATAATAGTTGGGTTTTTTTCTTCTGAAAGAGGCTTTCAAGGCATCTATTTTTGCAAGTTGCTGGATTGTCACAATATTCTTGTGCGTACTTAGTTAATTTACGCTACAACTTGGTCTAGCTTCATAGTATCCTGGAGCATTTCTGGGGATGTGGGGAAGAAAAAGGTGTGGGTTCCATTGTCAAGAGTGACAAGAATTGCCGTAACAGATATCTCTGTGTTTGTTCAGGCAGGCAAAGTGAGAAAACATGTATCTGAACAGGAGAAAACAGAGGAAGGACTGGGTCCCAATATCAAAAACATTGTTACTATGCTGATGCTGATGTTGTTGATGATGTTTGCTGTTCACTGTACCTGGGTAACTAGCAATGCCTACTCCAGCCCCAGCGTCGTTCTTGCTTCCTATAACCATGACGGGTGAGTAAGGTCTGAAAATAATCAGAGGGAAAAAGCCATTCTCTTCCTTTGCATTAGAAATTTGCTTTACCTTCTTTTAATCACTTATATTAAGGCAGAAACAATTCTTAATACTCTTAATTTTCAAGAAGATAAAACAGTTTCCAAAATATATAATGTAAATGCATAAAAATAATCCTACCCAGAGCTAATAAAACTGGTTTAAAAAAAAAGTTTTTGAGTCAACTGGGAAAACTTGTTTATGAATATATATTCGACTAGAAATGCATTTAAAATGCATTTAATGCATTTTGAAGATGCAAATATATCTTCAAAAACAGTTCAAGTTCTGGCAGTGCAGCTGCCGGTGGATTCCAAGTTATGAGTGCTGGTGGCTGAATCCCTCAGAGGGAGCCGAAGGCTTAATTGAGAGCCCACATGTATCACTGTGCAGTTAATGTGTTACTAGTATTAATATCAAATAAACTGAGCTCTGTTTTGCAGCACTCGGAATATCCTAGATGACTTCAGAGAAGCCTACTACTGGCTGAGGCAGAACACAGACGAGCACGCCAGAGTGATGTCGTGGTGGGACTATGGCTACCAGATCGCAGGAATGGCCAACCGCACCACCTTGGTCGATAACAACACTTGGAACAACAGCCACATAGCCCTGGTAAGGGTGGCGATTTTTCTATGGAGTAGAAACACCAAAATGTTTACATTGCAGTCGAGTAGGAAATTGTAAATGTCTGTTGTTAGATAGCATGATATTAGGGGAAAATTCCATAGAGTGGGAAACGCAGAGGTGGATGGAACACATTTTTCGCATTTCTTAGAACTCAAGTATAAAGAGTTTTGGGACTGGAAAGGAGGGATCAATTTTGCTTTTGGAGTTTCCATTTTGTTTCCTCGGAGTTTCCAAAACTTCACTTCTGCTTCAGTTTCTCTTCTTTGTGGGAGGACAGACAAAATCTAATGTCACCATTGCCTTTGTGATTAGTGCTTACCCGGTATCACTGCTTCTCTGGCATTATCCAAACAGGGGGCGTTTCAGTTCAGCAGGGTCTCTGCTGACTGGGTTTTTGAATGGCATGTGAAAACTGACCAGATGAAACAACACATTTTCAGGCATCTTGGAAATTAGAGAAAGTTTATGAATGGCAATGGGAGTGTTGCAGATTTGATGCGATTCTATCTTCTCAAATTGGCAATTAGACAAAATGTCTCTACGTATAAATTCTCTCACTTCTGATGAGTAAGTTCAACCTTTGTGCATGTGCTTAAAAGCAGGGCCTTAGCATTGCCTGCCGTTACAGGGGCACCACCTTGGGCCACTTAAACCTTTTTCAGAAATAAAAAAAAGCTCTGCATTGTAGCAGGGCTGCAGCCTTACCAGGTGCTGTGTCCTCATCACTCAGTGATGACATCAGTCATGGCTCTGTGGCTGTTTCTTCCCATAAGACCATGTGAGGAATGTGTTGGAGTAGTTTCTAGTCTCGTGTCAGTACCTATTACAGCAGTTGGACCACGTCTGCCAACAAGCAGCGTTTAAAACCAACAAATTAATCAAGCTGTGCTTTGAGCATCCCAAGTCCTGAGAAATGTGCGCTGGGGAAGGCTGGGGGGGGTGGGATCATATGTACATGGTTGTGACAGGAGCAGGGAACTCACATCAGCCAAAAGCAAGCTTGGGAAATTGTACTGCTGGTGCTAATATCAATCAACAAGCCTTCCCATATACTCTTAAGGTATTTTTCTCGTGTTTTGGTTGTTGACCTGACAGTGTGTGTTAGATGGATGTTCAACTCTGATAGCTCTATGTGCCTCCCACTTCTAAAAGAGGTAGAAGTGCAGATAGTATATCTGACCCAACAGATCCCTGCAGGACAAGGCACACCAGGTGAACAGAGAGGCTGGAAGTCATCTGTATTGCTTAAGCACAGTAACCATATACATCACAGCAATTACAGTGATGGTTTTTAATAAAGAATTCTCTCCAGTGTGACTGCTGGAACCATCAGCTTCCATTTTGCAATGAATAGTCCATCAAGGGGGGCCCAAGCAATACACATGTGTTGTGGCCAGTACCTGAAGTTGTGCAGTAAACGAGGCGTGCCCCGGAGACGTGTGCCAGATGAGTTCCTCCTGCACAGACATGGAAATCTGCCAAATAACTTCACACTGATTAGGATAACGGCCAAGAAGCTGAGGTTCCCAGTCTTTTTGACAGATTGCAGCCTAAGCTTGGCATTTTCTAATTACAATCTTAACTGAATGTTACCAATTCGGGTGCAATATTATTTATATTGTAGTTACTCCCTTTTACTACAGCGATACGTTATTATGCCTTAAGTACAAGAGCTTCAGTAACAAACAAAACTACTGAACTGAATGCCAGCTACTGACCCAAGTGAATCTGTTAAGTGTGGGAAGTGACCGGTATGGAAGAGGTGATGGAAACACCCTTAAAAAGCTTTTCAAAACCCAAACTGTATTACGCTTTTAACTCAAGGATGTCTCTATTCTGACATTTTCTTTGCATAAATTTACTTTGAGTTCAATGCTGAGGGTGCCTGTATGCTACTGTGTACAGTGCAACATGGCTGCTTTATTAGTGGAAGACAGAGCTCAAGGGGAAAAAAAAACCCAAGGAAATTACTAACATTTCAAATAACTTAATCACTTTGGGTTGTCTCTAAAGCTTTGAAAGTAAGTCCTAATTAGGTATTTTCTGCAACACTAAGTTTGTCAATACAGCCATGACTTGAAAAATCTGTAGATGCCACAAAAGGAAAACCCTTATTGATACATTCTATACTCAAAGCACTCATTCCAACACGCAGCACTTCTCTTACAGAGGAGAAAATATTTCAGTTTAAGTTTGGCTTTTGAGTTTATAAATACTCACAATGGGTTTTCTTTATCTAGAATGAAAATAGGGGCTTTGGTTGGCAAGTATGGATTGTTGGGCTTTGCTCTGTCAGGTATCGATCTGCGGATCTGCCTGATAAGCAGCTGTGCAGAGGCTTAGGATCTTTTTGCTGTGATACAGGTGGGAAAGGCAATGTCATCAAACGAGTCGGCGGCGTATGAGATCATGAGAAGTCTGGATGTGGATTATGTTTTGATTATTTTTGGTGGCGTGATTGGCTACTCTGGTGATGATATCAATAAGTTCTTGTGGATGGTGAGGATAGCAGAGGGGGAACATCCCAAAGATATTCGGGTAAGCATTCTTGGCTAAATACTCTATTTCTGTATGTTCATCTCTACCTTTTTTATTTATTTTTTTTTTTTATATTTTCATTTATGTTGTTGCTTTTCTGGTAGTGCTTATTACAGCAGAGGGAAATCGCTACTACTTATTGCAATTTTATTTGAAAAATGTGTTATGGGTTGTTTTCCTAGAACATTAGGAGTGCAGAGGCCTGTAGCCCAGTTTCTTTCAATATTTATGGTTTTCAAAGGTCAGTAACCTCAAAAACTTACCACTTTTTTTTTTGCATGATACTAAAAGTACAGACTGTCTTTTGTAATTCTTGTGTGCATGTCTCACTGTGCACCATCATACTTTAAAAAAAGTTTGAGTGTTCAGACTGTTTAAATAGTTGGCATTACAAATTTCTTCAAACTCTGTAATAGTAGGAGACCAGTTAAAGTGTTAATATTGACTTATGTAGAGTTTAAGTTATTCAAACATCTCAGAGATTGCAGAAGTCTGTAGTAATATTTGCTTAAGCCTAACAAAAACTTGTAGATATTGAGCACCTGCTTTAGGGAGTAGCCCCCGTGCATAATTTGATCTTCTACTGGAGATGAAAATGGCAGATATTTTTTATTTAAACACTGGGCACATATGAAGTTTATGGTAACATTGCAGATCCCGTACATTAACAATACAGTGCTTCTCACTTTTCTGAAGAATAATTTTGGTAGATGCCCCACTAATGTTTACGCTTTTGAGATCAGTTTTCCCATAACTGCTAACTGTGAAGTGACAAAACTTGTACCAGCACAGTCAGATGGATTTAGGAAGATGGGTCCATTGGGGTCTGGGTTACAAGCAGGTAGTTTGTAAATATATTACCTTTGTTTTCTGTTTTAAGACTAACTTAAATCAGCTTTCAAACTGCTAAAGTCAGTTTAGATTTTTTAAGAAGTTTTTTTTTTTTTGTGGAGAAGGGAATGACAAATGATCTTAGATGGGGGTTTAGTTTATATTGACTGTTTTTATCTTCTTTTCTTTTTAAAGGAAAGTGATTACTTTACCCCTCAGGGAGAATTCCGGGTAGACAAGGCAGGTTCTCCAACTTTGCTGAACTGCCTCATGTATAAAATGTCCTATTACAGATTTGGAGAGATGCAGGTCAGTGCTACAACTTCTACCGAGTCTGAATTGAAATGTGAGAAAGCAAATGTTATTTCGATATATTTTCCATCTTCTAGATTAAGTGTTCTTGTAGTAGCAAAATCGGAGGTAAGAGTCAGCTTTACAAATTAAAAGACATCTTAGGCATGGTCTGTTGTATCTAACCCTTAGAAAAATGCATTTCTGTCGCTCACCTACACTCCTACTTCACTCTTTGCCATCCTTCATGTTGCCCAGACAAGCGTCTTAATTCCCCTGCGCAGCGCGTTTGCTGAGGCATTAACTGTTACGTTGTGGAGAGCTTTAGATTTGTGTTTTGTAATAGCAACACAGAAGTGGAACTGTTAATTGACTGGTTAATCACTGTCAGAATCTCCCCCATTTCTATCCAAGTCACATCTGTGTAGTAAAGAACACAGCACTTACATAGTAAAGGTGTAATTCTCAGGGAGAGCTGTCATTCCCCTTTGGGATCATTAAGCAGAGGGATGTAGCTGAGGATGCCTGGTTTGCTGCTTGCTTCCCTCTTCACTCCCCACCAAGGGCCCTTTGTTCTGATGCATTAGCACAAGAATCCTTTATTCAGCTAAAATTGAGGCCACTGGATCCTATTTGTAACACGGGGGAGTCCAATTTACCTGATAAACTTAAACATGAACTATTTCTGACTTGTATGGTAAGCCATGGAAGTGCAAGTTATTGCCCTGTAGGAGAGCACAAGTGCGACAGGACACAGGGTGAAGGTTTTAAACTAAAAGAGGGTAGATTTAGACTGGATTTAAGGAAGACATTTTTTATAATGAGAGTGGTGAAACACTGGAACAGTTGCCCAGAGAGGTGGTAGATGCCCCATCCTGGAAACATGGACAGACAGGTTGGATGGAGCTCTGAGCAGTTGAAGATGTCCTGGTCATTGCAGGGGGTTGGACTAGGTGGCCTTTACAGGGCCTTTCCAACCCAAACTGATCTCTGATTCTACACGAGCAGCTATGCTCAAAAGCCACCACAGACTCTCACTTAAGTAGTTTCATCTCTGAAAGCAGACGTGATATTTCTGTTGAGACCTGAAGTGCTGACTCCTGCAACATCTGTAGGAGTAAGAATAGATGTGTCTCTTTCACTGTTGTAAAAAGAAAGTGCGAGGTTTTTTTTCTGTGTGGTAATAAGCAATGCAAGAGAAGTGTTGTCCTTTGACCAGCCCAGTTGAAAGCCTTGCCTTGTGGTATGAAGTACCGTAGTTTGCAGTGATGGGTGTTGCTCGTTTTGTCTTGAACTAATATGCCATTTTAATTTTTATAGCTGGATTTTCGGACACCCCCAGGATTCGATCGCACACGCAATGCTGAGATAGGCAACAAAGACATTAAATTTAAACATCTGGAGGAAGCCTTTACCTCAGAGCACTGGCTTGTTAGAATATACAAGGTGAAACAACTAGACAACAGAGAGACATTGGATCATAAACCTAGAGTAACCAACATTGTACCGAAACAGAAGTATTTGTCAAAGAAGGTGGGTTCCCAGTGAAGTGACTGAAAGGGGTCAGGAGATGGCAGTTTATTTTTAACAGAGAATCACAGAGCTGGTGAATTATGTATTTCCACTGGCCAGAGTGTTACGGATACTGTTCATGTTAGTGTCCAATATCAGACCTGCCTGCTGGTAATAATTGTTAATTTACTGTCTGCTTAACTTAAAAGCATGTGAAGACACAAGGCTAGATTTTTTTTAGGCAGAATGCTAACTGGAAATAGAGTGTGTCACTGGCTGTTACAACTCTTAAGTCTTCATGTAACTGGAAGTATAATCTCTAAAGTACATCAATTCATGTTTCAGTACCTATGGCTCACTAAGTAAATACTGTGGAAGTTGCTTTCTGACTTTGTTTGAAAGTAGTGATGCCTAGAAGTTTAAAAATGGCGATTTTGTATGAAATAAATTAAATATGAAACTTTTGTTGACGGAACTTTAGTGTCTGGCTGGTTACTGTTTGAAGTCATCTGCATGGTTTTAGAACAGTTAGCTGTGGTGTGCTACTTCAGCCTAGTAAGAGACACGTGTTACGAGGGAAACTGGGGAGACCCTTAGCAGTCCTCTCCTTCACATCTGTTTTCTATATATTCAAATATATGTTGCAAAAGGAATTCCAGAGTCCTGTCAGAAACAAATGTGTAACAAACTAAATCATTACAGGCAGAAAGCTTACACTGCGTGTGGAAGTACAAGTAAAGAATGTTGGAGGATAAAGATGCTAATTTTTCTGATTTGATGCAAGTTCCTAAAATAAGGCATTTAGGAGTTGCCACTGAAGGTAGCCTTACCTTGAAAGGAAATGATAAGCTTTGCTGTGCCTGTTGTGCACTTCAGTGTAACTCTGGGTCTTGAGTGACAAGGGCTGTGTTTATTAATGATAGATGCATCGGCCCCACTTAAGCTGTGGCTGTTGGTTCTCTGTGTAAAGACAGTTTTGATAAACATTGATGCAAATTCTGATCCACCACCAACTCCTGCAGCACAAACAGACTCTGCTTCCCACCAAGAAATGGGAGACCCAGCAAAGAGCATGGGGAGAATGTCTAAACTGGGATTTCTTAACTGCGTTCTGAGGGTCCCATTGGGAGCCACAGGTTTTCAGGAGCAGTTGCTTCCTTACTGGAAATTCAGTCCCTCTCCTGTCACTCTTCCTTATTAGGAATGACATTGCTCAAGCTCAGAGGCATTACATGTCTGAGATACATACTAATATGTAATACTATCTCTCTTTATAATATTATTATTATTTAAAAGAGAAAATTTATATTTAATTAACATAATAAAGCCTGCTGGTAAGCACAGCAAGTGTGGGAGCTGCCTACTGTCCAATTGGTTGTGGTAGGCGTGTTGAATGTACAACTCTACCTGCCAGGAGCTAACTGGATTTATAAACTTGGAAGTTAATTTTACCTAAGACTATCATTAATACTTCTCCCTTTACTACCTTAAAATATATATATATATCTAAAATATGCTGATAAAGACACAGGAGCAGAAAGCACTAACTAGTGTACAGACCAACAGCAGAAGACTAAAGACTAAAACGTTGTTATTCAGTTCTTCTCTTGCTTTTGGAAATGCTGCTTTGAGCAAATATAACTATTTATCTAGCATCTTGGGAACTTGTAAGAGAACCAAGCAGTGCAAAATATGCAACGTTCTACACCACTTCTACTCTTTGGACATATTAGAGCTTTATCGTGTTGGTTAATTATTCGTTCTGCCTCAGCACAAGCTTTGAAAACAATTCTACAGATCTGCTAGATGGGGCCTGCAAAAGTACATCTTGTGCAAAAGCAAGTGCTGGGCATGAATTAATAATCCCAACTTTAAAACTAATAACTAGATAATGCCTAGTTGAGGGTTTACCATTTGAGCTCTTTAAAATCAATCTAAAGATCAGGCGTTGAAATGCACATCATTAAACCGCGGTCAAGACTAAATCATTAACTAATACGTTTTATTCTGTTTTTCTTTTTAGACCTCCAAAAGGAAGCGTGGCTACATTAAGAATAAACTAATTTTAAAGAAAGGCAAGAGACCCAACAGGAAGACAGTTTAAATACACTGTTCTGATTGCTAATACGAAGCAGTTGTCCTTGAGATAACCAGTCTTTGCCTTTAGCTCGAGTCATGTTTCACAGCAACATGAGGGTACAGAACCATCATTGGTCCAGATTATTGTACAAAATTTTCAGGCAATGTCTGATTAAAAATATTGGCTTATTGAGAACAGCTGTTTTAGATTTGTAATGTGAAGCAAGACAGAGCTGCTATCCAAGTCTAGCAGCATTTTTTTTATTGGTACATATTATCCTTCAAATCTGTTGAGAATTTGGACTGACTGCACCAAAGAACCCTGTAATTTGGTCCTTGGCACATGCATACTTGTCAATCTTTTTTGGGAAACGCTGTTCAGCTGAATAGCAGCAGTACCTAAACTGGAATGGTGAAACCTAAAAAACGACCTGTTTTCAACAATTGTAAGAGGAAGCAGAGCTCTCTGAAATTCAGCTTTCAAAATCAGTTTCTCCCACAATTATTTTTCGATGGTTGTGTGGCGTTTTGTGTTTTTTTTTTTCCAGTGTCCTCTTACTGTGGCTGCAGGCTGGGTTTGCTCTGGCGTGTAAGAAGCAGACCTGCAGTTTTCAGGAGAGGTGGCAGGACAGAGGAACTGGGTGCTGGCTGGGACTGGAGGAGCTGCTTTGGTGTCAGGTGGGCTTACGCTGTCCTTCCTAAGGCAGAGCAGGCAAACCCTGCCCACCCCTAAGGTACAAGGGCTACATCTGCATCCTCCTGCAACATCTGAAATGACAGTAACACACAGCTCAGCACCCACTGCTTCACAACAGAAATTAAACTCTTTTAGCTAAATGTTTACATTGGTAACACAAGCATAGCCTGCTTAATGGGGAGAAAAAAATGAAAAAAAAAAAAAGGTTGACAGGTATCCAAACCCCCTTTTTTCTGTGGCTATCGGAGGGAGAGGATTTGCAAACCTCTCCCCCCCCCCTCACCGCCTCTCTCATGAGGGTAGAAGTTTTTCTGGAAATCTCTTTCTCTGCATTTTTATTTAGAGTGCTTAAATCAATCGAAGAAATTCCTGCTATAGTGCTATTTGCTTTGTCTGTCTTTTATACTGTTTTTTTTAAAGAAAAAAGAAAAAAGTGGTGAAAACTGTCAGATTAAATGCACTAAAATATAAATGGAGACTGAACATGTTCACTTTCCAGCTATAGGAAAACTTTATACAGACTTGAAAATTTTCTTTAATTAAAACAAAAGGGTTTTGCAGTTTGTTTTCCTGCCACAGGTTGTAACTTTTTATAGAAACAAAACTTGCATCAATAATTTGATGTAAAATGCAGAATAGTATGTACCTTTCATGAAGAAAATGTAAATTTACAGTGTTCTGTGAGAATGTTACTGCTGACTTCTTTCCCAAGGTGTAGAATATTTTTTTTGATTTATGAACTCATTTTTGACTCCGATGGTTTATACAGACCAATACTACAGCTGCAACATTTTCACAAAGGTAATTAAATCTGGATTTCTGGCCCCCTGTCGTTTGGAGATTTCATTTTATTTTGTTGCTTTAAAGCTCAATGCAGACCAGTTGTTGACTGTAGGGGAAAATAAAGTTAATTCAAGTTTTGTGTTAAGGGTGTTCTGTCAGTTTTGTTGTGATTAACTTGATAACGTGTTGCTTGTACTTCTAGTGATAAATTAAGTCATTCCAACTCCATAAGGTAAATCTGCTGACCTCATGAAGTTGCTGTAAGGAAGCCACAGCAGGTACTTACCGTCTCTGCAGCTGACATTTATTAAGCCAAGCGCAGGGAATGGCTTGTGCTGACGTTCAAGGTGGTTGCAATATTTTTTGGGAAGAGCATCCATCCTTCCCGAGCATCCTTATGCGATGCAGGAGCTGTAGTATCTATCTTGCTCCTTCCAAGCAAATCTGCATCCTGCCCCCTCACCACAGCTAAGAAATAAATGATAGAACATGTGGAAGACCATCTGAAAGGCAGCAGTAACTCAGCCTTGTTTTAAAACAAGGCAAGAAAAGGTTGCCCTCCCATCTTTAGGTATCTTTACGGTTCTGCCAGCTTGTTTTCCATCTTAGCTGACAATGTTCTTTTTAATGGAGCAGAAATAAGTGACTCATGTCAACTTTTACAGCATTTTTAAAGTTATGTGAAAGAAAAATGAGCCAACAACAGGGATTTTGACCAGCCTGGGCCTAAATTGCCTACCACTTACCTGAGCTTTCCTAAATCTAACTTGATTTCAAGGCTTCTGCCGCTGTTAAATGACATGAAATGCTGGAGTTGTTAAGGCAGCCACTGAGAAAAAGCAAAGTTACAAAGAAGAACTGGCAGGTATTGTATCACCTTCCTTGGTTCCTCAGGACCCTGCTTGCCAGGTTGGTTACCTGCTTCTCCACCTGCAGCCGAGAGTTACTCAGCTAAACTGACTCTGTCTCCACTTGTATCAGCCCAGAATACCAGTGTCTTGTATAATTACCAAACACACCCCCCATACTTGTTTTTTTCCTTTTGTTGTTCTACTAGGTCAAATTTGGAAGCCTAATTGTCACAGAACACTAAAATCTGAAAAGTGCTGCTGCTCCTCTTTGGTTGCTAAGGAACTGAAACTGTGTGTGTCTGGAGCCAGCACTGCCCAAGTTCTGCAGCCCAGAATACCAGTGTCTTGTATAATTACCAAACACACCCCCCATACTTGTTTTTTTCCTTTTGTTGTTCTACTAGGTCAAATTTGGAAGCCTAATTGTCACAGAACACTAAAATCTGAAAAGTGCTGCTGCTCCTCTTTGGTTGCTAAGGAACTGAAACTGTGTGTGTCTGGAGCCAGCACTGCCCAAGTTCTGTATCTCTTCATCATCGCTGGGGAAAGCAGCGCGGGCAGGGGGCACCAAGGGTAATCCCACAAGAAATAATTTGAATTGTGGAAGTAATTCCATAACGGGGCGGGGGGGGAGAAAAGTCATTAGTTAAATATCTTGACAGATTTACTTTTGAAAACCCAGTTAAATGCTTTGACTCAGCCCTCTGCAGATATCGGCCCCACTATGAGTAAAAACTGAAAATAAATTGTATTTGGCTGCGAGTAGAACTCTTTAAACCCAGTGTAGGAAGTGCTCCAAGCTGTGGCCGTGCAGCAAATGCAGGGAGAGGCAAGGAACACGCCTGGGGAGTGTTTCTGGCCCTATTTACAGCCAGTACTGTTTCAGTTTTGGATAAAAACAAAACGTTCTGGCACCATGATTTCCAACACTGTGGATAAATGTTTAAAATAAACCAGAACACTTGAAAATAAATAAATCTAACACTTGTAGACCAGGATCCATGAAGCCTGAAAGCACATTTTTCCTCCCCCTGCAAAGTGTCCAATGCTGCAATAATTTCAAGCTGTATTTTAAGAGGTATCTAATCAAGAATCTCTGTTAATGGCAAAGATTAAATGAAGTAATGATTTTCAGAAACAAGGGAACACCTTACCCTGTATTTCTTTTTTCTCTCTCAAAGTAAGGCACGTGTTCCCCAGCCTTTCCAAATCGGGGATGCTGCTGCCCAGCCCTGTTTTTCCCAGTTAAACAGACACTTACCGGGGGGGTGTCTGGCAGCAGGAACAAGGGAAACCCCACCACAATCCAGGGCTGAGCTGAAGGTCACTTCTCTGAGACACAGGCACGGAGCTCGCAGGTGCCCTCGGTGCTGCACCGCCGCTCCCGGGCAGCCCAGTAACCAACACCAGTAACTCACGCTTCAACGGAAAGAGAAAGGGCATCCCAGTGCTAAATGAAACAAACCTTTTATTCATGAGCATTTGTCATTTTAAATTCACAAATTATGAAAGGAAGGCAAATCAGAAGAGACTGCCAGAGCATCTTTCAAATGATAAAGGTATAAATTTTCTTTCCGAACATTTCTAATTTAAGAAAGAAAAAGGTTGCATAGGCTTTCTACAGGTGTGCACAAAAAAAAAAAGTTAAATTGAAGTACATGGATGTTTTTACATTACAATTCAGAGTGTACATTGGCTACTTGAGAAGGAAAAGATTCACTTGCAAGTCCAAGACGGCTACTGGAACAACCTACAGAATAAGGCTTATGAATAGTTACTTTTCAGTCCTGTAAAATATACTGAACACGTAGCTATCAAAAAAATCAAATGAGGCGTGTGAATCTTGTTCTGGAATCTCTCCCTGATGGGATCTTTTCAGAAAGGGCTATTTTTGTGTTTGTCTCCTCCCAAGTTACTTTGGGAAAGAAAGGGCGGTACCGGCATCAGGGGATTGGTCACAGCATCGAACAAAACGGAGCATTTCTCAGAGCACAAGTGGAATGTTGTGGGCATGCAGGAACAACCAACCATGCAGACAGAAAGAAATCTGCAATAAATTACAAGCGTAGAATTATTCAAATTTCTCCTTAAAAGAATGGCTACGGCATCTTTGTTGCCTCGACAGTCCTACCCTCGGAGGTGGGAGAGGTCTACTCTCCCCGGGGAGAGGTCTGCGATGGCTGCTTCTAGTGAGTGTGGGGCTGCTGCTTTGGGGCCTGAAAGTCAAAGTTTGGGAGGATGTTCCACGTGTTTAATTCTCTGTTTCCGACTGTTCTTTGTGATGTTACTACACACTGCAGGAAAACTGCTACTTACTTCTCAGACTAACCTCTAGAACAAGAGTGGATCCAGGACAACGTTAACTCTTGCAGGTGATAAAGTACACCTTCTCCTGATGATGTGTGGTAGCCTTCCAGTGGCTGCTACCGCAGCATCATTTTGGTTTTGTTACAGAAAAACACCAACTATTCCTAAAGATAAGACTTTTTTTCCTTTAAAAAAAAAAAAAAAAAGTGTCAGTTACAAAACCAAGCTCATGAAGTCCACGTTTTTTTTTAAAAAATAGGATTTAAATCATTTATAACATTAATCTTCTAATGTGCAAAAAAAGGACGTACAAGCAGACAAAATAACATTTAGGAGGAAAGAGGAGCCACACCTTCATTAAATAGGGATCTGAAGTTCAAATGTAAAGGTCTATTAAATACTATGTTCAAATGAACAACTAAGGGCATGTTTCCTTGTGCACACACCTCCATTTAGCCTTCTGAGTTGCTTAAGGGATTTTAACATCTAGATTTTAACATCTGCCAAAAATAACTACTATAAAATGCAGGATACACAAGAAGAGATAGAAGCAGTGCTTTGACCTACATGTATTCGTGTGGTATCTCTAAAGCCTAAGTTACTGTATTCAGAAAGCAGAGAGAAGGCACAGAATGAGTCCGCGCTAGAGAGAGGCAGGCACCCATGCTGCTCTGCCTCGGCAATACGGGGGGTTCTGGACGGGGCGCTGCAGGAAGCGGCACCGAGCAGGACTCGGCACGTTTTACACTTGCCCCTTGTTGCCACTTCTCTCAAAACCACCTTCACTTTCAACAAACACAAACTAAAAAAGCAACGAAGCCTTAACACGCTTTCAGAACCCACTTTGTCAGTGTCACAGTGGTTGCCACAAAGCAAGATCAAGCTACAGGATTGTTTACTTACTTTTTCTTTTTACTTTACAAAAAAAATTCTATCCCATTTAATTTGCTTTACTAATAAAGTTATTGTCTCGGTGGAATAATTTACTAAAATTGTTACTTTTACATCAGAAAATCATTCATCTGGAAGGGCTTGTTACATCATCACCTCTACTCATCCAAGTATCTCATTGGAAGCAATCAATGGGGCCAAAAGCAAGAGAAATCACGACACGGGTCTGCCTGGAGCCTCCTCAGGGGAGGAAGGGCTCCGACCAGCCCCGCTGCGGCTGATTCCCCAGAGCAGCACAGGGAAGTCACCCCCTGGCCACGGGGAAGGGGGGCTGACACCCACCACAGCAGCACGGGGCTCCTCTCCCACCCCACAGCAGTCGGGCTCCATGAGGCAAGGGTGAGCTGGAAACACCACCAGCTCCATCTGCCAGAAGGGATTCAGTGGAACATGTAACCATATTAACCCCAAATCAGGGGCACAAGAGCAGCCAGAGGACGCTACGCAGCACAATGGATGACCAGAGCAGCTGGCTCACCAGTGACCACAGATCCATTAAACAGCTGGAAGTACCAATAAACAAAAAAAGTGAGGACGCAACGGGTTAGTGCCAACAACGTTCTCGAGAAGGTATTGCTACTTCTGGTAAGATGGCAGAGAATTCACACTCCTAAGTGACAGGAAACATGCTCTTAAACCAGCGTCCCGGGCAGCGAGCGCTGTCAGTGTATCATTCTTATGTCAAAGTGAGTTACTCAATGAGTGTTTAGACAGGACGACTGCCATTAAGTGACACGTCACGTTTTAAGTGCAAAACATTTTTTGGCAAAAGTGAAAAATAGAAAAACCTTAAACCGGTAACAATAAAAAAGTATTTTCTTAAATACTAGCACAGGGCCTGATCCTGCAAGCACACAACTCGGGGAACCCCAGCTGAGCCCAGCTGGAGTTCTGTGCCCTAACACTTAGAGGAAAAGGTCTTTAAATCACTGTTAGTGTTTATACCTGTTTACATGTAGTGTAAATAACACACACACAAACACACACACACACTGCGTGTATAGCCGTGTGTACGGACGGACGCATGCGCGTGTGTTTGTGTACCCACACACACAAAATGGCTCCTGAATAAACTTGAGCTTGTGGTTATTTTGAGATGCATCATTCACAGTACATCACTTCTCCTTTGGATCTTCTGGTAATGACCTGTTCAGAGACATCCTGAAGTTACAGACTGGATCATTTTCATGCCTTTTTAAGGTGAAGTCGTGAGGCAACCGCTCTATTCCCGTCAATGGCTCTTCCAGAGAGGATTCAAGTAGAGCCAACCATCGCCCTGCAAGGACATGAGGGAGAGTTTACCAGAAAGATACATCCTGGATCTGTGTACATCCACATAAAAGCTGTAATAACACCAATCAACATAACCCTGTCATCTGAAAATTCTGTACTTAATGAATATACAAGTTATCTGGGCAGAAGGGGGAGGAGCAGCAGTGGGAAGATGCAGTGGATGAACTGGTGGTTGAAGGGCTGCACGTAGCAGGTAACTGGAGGGGACAGGCACAGGGGAATGCCCTCAGCCAGCCTCAGTTTCCTTCCCCCTCTCCTCTTAGAAAGGGCAAAGATGAACTTAGTAAAATCTGTTTCATTTCAAGTGGATGAAACCCAAGACTGTGTTTAAGGTGTCCATGATTACTTACATGGGACAAACATCCCCAGATCATGTTCACAGAATCATAGAACTCTAGAGGTTGGACGGGACCTTCAGAGATCCATCCAGTCCAAGGCCCTGCCAGGGCAGGCTCACCCAGAGCAGGCTGGACAGGAACGTATCCAGGTGGGCTTTGAATGTCTCCAGAGAAGAGACTCCACAACCCCTCTGGGCAGCCCGTTCCAGGGCTCTGTCACCCTCAAAGTGACATTGAATTTAGATAAAGATTAGTGGGGGATGTGCGTACACAGCATTTGTAAATTAAGGATTTTCAGGCAAGAAGCACGGCTTTAGGTGCCTAACATTAGGTACCAAAAATTCAAATGAAAGTAAATCTAACAAAAGGAAAGTGAATGAGTTCAGAGAATGGCCATGGAGCAATCCGTTGCTGTCCTTCAACAGCCAAATGGGCAAAAATAAATTTAAGTAGTAAATAGATCAGTTTTATGTACAAAATTAGCTCATGGTGAAGACCACAGACAAGCACCCCCAAGTCTGCAGGAAGATACTACTGGGTCTTGAACGAATGTACCTCTTTGGCAAAATATTTTGGTTTCCACGGTGTCGCAAGAGCCGCGCGTTGCCTCTCCTCTGCCCGCTGCCTCTCCTCCAGGCAGTGCTTGTGTTCTGTCGCCGCGTCAATGTTACCTTCCTTCAGAGAGTTGGTGACGTGCTGCCAGAGGTGCCTGCGTGAGGGAGGAGGAGCAGAAGCCACAGAGTGAGAACTCTGGAGACCAGCACGGGGAGCGCAGACGGGTGCCACATCACCGCAACACTTTTGCAGTCAGATAGCTCATGAACCATGGCTTTGCCAGGACATTCATGGCATTTGTGGACCCCACTTTGAGATTTACTCAACTGCCAGTATTTTGCCACGCAGGTTAACTTCTGTTCATGTCCCTGACTCCACAACCCGAGTGTTTTTCTCAGAGCAGATGGATTTATGTTTGTCGTTTCCTGTTGACATCCTTTACTGATGATCCACCCCCAAATGACATGTGTTTATTCAGTGTTTATTTGCAGTTAATTTTTGAATTCTAATAGAATGTTGGCCCAAAGCCAAGAGTACATTAAACTGGGACGCTGGCTGGAGGAACCGAGGCATCAGTTCTAGGGAGCCCTTCCAGGTGTGTGCTCTATACTCCCCTTAACGATAATTATCAGTTTGGAACCACACTGGGGTTTCCACACAAGTGACTGCACTGCGATGCGATGCCTCCTCACACCACATTCACCTATAGCACCAACTCTCCCCAAAAAAACACTGAGAAGAAACTGACTGCAGCTTCCATGTATTTCCAGGGCAGTTTAAATGAGTTTCTGTTTACAATCTGATAAACTGCATATCCTGCAGAAACATTGGACAGTTGTAATTTGTTTACTAGTATCCAAAAAATACAATAAATACACTGCAGAGCTACTGGTTTCCTTATTTACTGCAACCTTTCTGTTCCTAAACTACAGGGGAAAAATGAGTTTGTGATAAGCAAGCATGTCTAGGAAATAGGAAAATGATATCTGACCCTGCACAATGGCTCAAGACACGCTTCTGTACAATAAAAAGAATGTATTTACAGATAATAAAATGAAGCTTAACTCATGTTTTTAAATCCCCCAATAAAATGTTCCTAAATTCAATAAAAATATTGATTTTTCTGAAGATAAGTGCCAACAGTTATTGACAGTGAATAACAGAATAGTTTTTTCTCTAACGTACCTAGTCATAGTTAGGCATGTGATGTGGGTGCTGGGAGCCTTAAAACCATGTGTGTGTGTATTTATATCTCACATTGGATCGTATTTTACATATTTTTATAACGTACCTAGTCATAGTTAGGCATGTGATGTGGGTGCTGGGAGCCTTAAAAATATGTGTATTTATATCTCACGTTGGATCGTATTTTACATATTTTTATACATATGTATATATTCTAAAAGATATAAAACATGAAAGTGCAGTGTGAATGATAAGATGCAACGTTACTTGCAACAAACTGACTCATCTGAGTACTACAACCACTCAGAAAAGCAGGTGAGAACACTGCCATTACCACTTCTAAGGTCAGTTGTGCCCCCCTGGCCCCTGCCCGCCCGCAGAGCCCTCTGCCCTCACCTCGACTCCAGGGGCCCTTGCTTCGCTATCGGCCGAATCTTCTTCCTCATCACCGGCAGCTTGTTGGTGTCGATCACTTTGGTTTCCCCGTTGCTGTAAGTGAACTCCAGCGTCCCGTTCCACTCTCCCTGTGCCTTGCACACGATGGTGTTGGTGGGGTTGTGTTTCACTTCGGCTGTCACCCTGATTCAAGAGGGCAGAGAGACAGACAGACCACAGAAATTAACGATACTGTTTGTTATCAGCACACGAAAGGCTACAAGCACCTTTTTACACCCGTAAAGTAGTTTTTCGAGCAAAAGGAGTGATGCTGTCTCCACGAAAAAAGACTCAACCCAGGGAAGCTCTCCTAATGCAGCAATAGCCTTTGGGTGACGTTCTCCCAACCCAACTGCCAACCCTGATAGGGCTCTAACCCAGAACTGTTCCCCTCGTCAGCCTGAGAAACAACTACTGAGATTCAGGTGACATTGTCAGTACACACGTTATGTTCACACCTGAACATGATGCTGTCAGATACCTCCATCAAAGACTTCAGATACCTTAATCATCTTTTCTAGCTCTGCAAGTTTACTCTCAGCTGCCGAGAGGCGATGATTAAAGCTCTTGAGGGGTCTGAGAGTGAGCAATGCAGATAGGTAGGACTGGAAAACCAGAAGGCAGAGAGTAGTTTTGTGTGTGTCTCTCTAAGAACATGCACACGTGCTTTAGCCAGCCATGTCAAGTAATCTGCAACCTCAATTAAGTTTTTTAATTACTAGACTAATACAGCACAACCTTCCTAATTTTCACTCACCCTGATGGCCCCAATTATTAATTTACACCTTTTAGAAAAACCCCCTGTCAAAACAGCCCATGTTGATATTTGCCTGACTATCAAAACAGCTGACGCGCATGTGGAAGAACAATTAGACTAACTGAAACAAACCCCAGGTAACTGTGCAAAACCACCCCTCCCCAACAGGCAGCACAGCCTCAGGGTGGACACTGCTACAGCCACCAGCAGAACAGGAGAGGGGTCTGTGTATGTTAATTATTGGGTCATCAATTTGAGCCTGGCCGTCAGACAGGAAGCCATCCTGCACGATGCCTCTGCACACCCTTAATAAAGAAGCACCAAAGACACATAAATAATATTTTCATCATCTGTTTCAGTGCAGAAGTGGGAGTCCCCAGTAGGGAGCTACTGCTCTGGGTGGTGACACTGTCATTTCTCTCTTCCTTACAGGAGCTCCACCCGGAACACCACCGGTTCCTCTACAAGACTCACACAGAAGCAGCAGCTGGTGTAGCAGAAATATTGCCTTTTCTACGTACATTTTTCTGATCCTGCATTTACAGCAATTTTTACAAGCAACAAAGCCTTGGAAGAACACATTCACTTTAGTTTAATGAGAGAAATATATCCTAGTCAGTTAAACGATATAAAATGTATAACTACAATAAACTGGGCTCTGAAGCTGTAAGTCATGTCAGACACTAATAGGAAAAGAAATTCAGACATCAGCCTATAAAATACTCCAACTGAAAAACCAAACAGATCCCAAGAGTCTTGGTATTGAAATTCAGTAGCAAATAAACAAGACGACGACAGTAATTCCTGTACCTGTGGACCTTCCCTCCATAGAATGGCTTGGTGTGGAACGTGACCGTGGCAGAATAGCCCGTTCTGGCACAATTGATGTTGACTTTCCCCCCAAGCTCCACCCACGGGATGGTAAGTATGGAGCGAGCGTAGGCACTAGGCAGGGTGAACACATACTCTTCTTCATGTTCCATCAAGTAAAGAACACCTACATAGGAAGAAGGTTGAAAGTGGCATGATTAAAAGTTCAGTGATAAGACCTGACAGTCACTGCCCCAATGACTGTCATCAACGTGCCCTTCCACAGAAAGCACCATGTGCAACCCGCCTTGAAGGAGGGTACTGTCTGAGAAGGAAAAAATGTCTGCCCTCCAGAACAAATTTCTCAAAAACAAGTATTTTCAAAAGGACACCATTTGAATGTCTGCCCTGAAGTCCTCCACGGTACCAAACAGCTTATCAGAAAATCTGACAGCATTACTTATTTTGTGTTATTGACAAGCAATAAACTGTTAAAGCTGGGGAAAAAAACCCCAACATTTGCTTGCAAAAAGCCATACTGAATATTCAGATGCTCGCTCAGCTCACTCCAGAAAAAATATGGGCATGGCCAAATGGCTCTTCAGTTCTCCATTCAATCAGACACAACCAGGTCACCTCCACCAATTTCTTACTGATGCATTTGTTGGTGGGAGTGAAAAGCTCTCTGGAGGTCTGCCTGGGTGCAACTTAGGACACACACTTAAGGAAGCCATCTAGAAATTTATTATAACTTTGCTTCTTCGTTTCCAAATGCCTGATTTCCCACACAGCCTTTGCAAAAGCCTTGCATTATCATCGAGGGACCACCAGGCCCTGTTGGTTGTTACTACCAAGACCAACATCTCTATCATGCAGGGAAAATTACTGGCAATTCTGTTCTTTAAATGTTATGGGGTTGTAACTAAAAACAACAACATGGAGCAGCAGTAATTTTACAAAATTATTTGGAACTACAAAGAAAGTCGCGTGTCTGATCAGATCTTAGCTTCCTCTGGGGTCAAGGATAGAGCTCTATCCCCACCATAGCTGTAGTTTGCTCTTCAGGATGACAAAGAACAGAATGTAAGACCAGCTGAAGAAGACCTTAAACCTTGCACGCAGAACTAGATCATGCCAAATATCTGTAGAATATTTTTGATTTGAGTTTTACACTCTTTTGTGGCCCATTTAATAACTGCCTAAAGGCCAAAAAAATTACACCTTTGAAAATAATTTTTCACATCAGAGATTGAAAATAACCCATCACAGGAAGCACTTAGAACCCAGAAGTATTTGAAAAAAAAAATTGGGAAAATTATCTTCACATAGTAATAGTATCTGTTGAGAAACAAGATGAGCTTGAGCCCATTGGCCTTCACCACGGGGCAGGCAGGGGAAGAACACATGGGTAGCAGAAGTGATTAATTTGTCTGTTTAAGGGAATAACGACAAAGTTATGGAAAGTAACCCAACATGTAATGACGAAAAAGCATTAAATAGGAACAAAGCATTACTCCTGCCTATATAAAAATACACCCTTCACACTGTATGAAAAGACAAACCTAAAAAACAATCAGTGCTTTAACAGACTCATCACCTTAAATATTGGTTCCAACTAATGGAACTAAACGCAGGCACAGGAAGCTCTGCAACTTGTCACTTCTGCCTTCTGAAACTGCTCCACAGGAAAGCATCTTTTGCAAACAGCAATAGTTTTATGCGGTTTTGCTCAGGATTTCTGCAGCCTCAGCCTGCCAGCCCCAACACAGCCAGCCCTTCCGCTCCGGCACGTGTGGCAGAAACGAGCTGGAGAGTGCAAAAGCACAAACACAGAAGAGCAATGTCTTAAAAGGACCTTTAATCAATTTGCCCCGGCAAGTTCCAAATTCCTCGTGTCGGGTGCTGAACCCTGAGGGCAGGGAAGGGCAGGACACAGGTGGAACACACACACACAGGAGCTGTCTCCAGCCTCCTTGGTTCCACACCTGCAGGTAAAAGGGAGCTCAATGCACTGCAGGGAGGCTGAACTTCCCAACTCACCCAGCCAGGATGAACTTTTACTCAAAAAGCTGATTCTGCTTATTGAACTCATTAAACGGATGCTATAATAACATTACATTAATAAAGAACAATCCCGAAGCCTTTTAACTGGATGATGCTATTCACAAAGGATCAAGGAGAGCTAATGGGCTCTGATCAAACATAGACAGGAGACCTGACACTCTGCAGCAGGGCACGTTCCACACACAGAACTCAACAGGTTTTAGACCCTGCCACCTTTCCTTTCTCCTCCTCTTCTTCTTACTTATTCTCCACCTTTTTCATTACAGTCATGGGCAACAGACCTGATGCAGCAACCAGCCGTGGGGAAATGGCCTGTCACCTCGTGGGGAGCACCACATTTCCCCCGTTTTCATGGTGGAAGCAGAGGCAGAAGCCTCACACTGTCCAAAGCACAGCCTGCCTGAAAGCATCAGCTTCCAACATGACAGTTTTGGGGATTTTGTTGTTGTGAGGCTTTAGTTTTTGGGGTTGTTTTTTTTAAAGACAAAAGGTCTAACAGTGTTACGGTGGGGACTCCTGGGGGAGAACCTCACTGTATTTACAACCCACACCGTCACGTGAGCTTCTCCAGAGCCTCCTACTTCCCTGGGCCCAGCTGTCCTCCTCTGGCTGTCACTGCATGTCCCCAGCGGGAGAGGGAACTGCCACGACCAATGCCATCTCCTTTGGGGTTAGCATGGCTTTGCTTTTGTCTCTCTGATGGGATCGATGGGTTTTTCCTCCGCAGCTGAGCAGAGGGATGCAGAGCTCTACCCAACGCTGCCACGCACGCTCAGAGGCAGACAGCAAGTAACAGCGGTGACCTTCAATGCAAATATTTAACCACCACAGCAGGTTAGAAATTAAAAACCAAACCCAGCTCTCTTGGCGGTATTTTTAGCACCTGGTAGCGTATTTTTTAATTCCTCAAACACCTGAATAAATACATTTTTAATGAAGTGCTATCTCACTTGAAATACGACTCCGGCTCAATAATTATAACCTAAAAAAGAATAAAGGGAAGATCTGAAATATTTTTGCAGCTTGGTAGCACTTTTAGTGTTAACGTGGCCGTTGGTTTTGCATTCCATCGTTCGCAGAGTCCACACACAAAGCCTCGTTGAACTGAGTCACCGTGCAGCCCCCAGCACCACCACGGAGACCCCAGCTCCCGGTGGGAAGAGGAAGGCACAGCCACGCTGAGACTCAGCCCTTGTAGCTGTTTGAATTCATGCCCTGCCAACTTTAAATCTTGAGAAATTGAAGGCAGAAAAACTGAAATCTAGCAGTTCTTTTAAAAAGCGGTGTGTGCTTTTAACATCTGCCTATAAGCATCATTGCGTCGTGAGTGATGTTTAAAGATACCCGCTGGGAACCACACAGGCTATTTCTCTTCCCTTGCTTCCCCAATCTAAGGGATTATGCATTTTTAGCTTAGAAATGGCTGTAAGTAAATAGATGTGAAAAGCTGCAGAAGATTCTCCCATTTTCAGTAACGTTTCCTCCTCTCGTATCAAAGAATCATTTCGGAAACTGCAAATTCCTTTAAAAAAAATCGTAAGTATTTCTAGGCAGCCATTGTGCATGGGAGAACGCACCAGAGAAGCACTCTGGGAGGGACAGTGGATTGAGTAATGTAGTTTATTAGAAAAAAAGCCCACAGAGAAGATTGAACTGTTTATAAACAAGCGTGGAATTTTGAAATTCCCCCTTGAAACGTCCTCAGCACCGTTCACTCCTGCTTTTGACTAAGGCAACATATTCACAGTCATGCTCCTTCCCACCATTCCTCCGCCTGCATTAAACCAAGTGATGTTCACAGCATCTCATTTTCCCTGTTTGACTATTACACGTCCCTCACTGGTGCTGCCGCTTTGTGAATTGATTTTCCAGTAACCCTTATTGACAAATACCCAGAGGAGGCTCGGGATCAATAAGCTGCAGAAGAGGCATGTGAAATTTAATGCTTCCCACCCATTGTATGGAGATCAATCTGACCAACAAATGGTACGTGGGACACCAAGGGCCTCGGGCAGTTTCCTGATTTAACGGGCTCTTGGCTCCGCGTTTTTTGGAACAGGGCAGGAACAGGACTGAGGGACGGGTGGGATGAACCCCACATGGGTGCAGGGCACCACCAGCCACGCAGAATCGGAAGGGAAAACATGGGATGCCAAAAATTGGCTTTTACTGTCTCATAGATGTTCCAGCGAGCTGCGCTGCACCGCTCGTTTTCCAAAGGCTGGAGCCATTTGCTAAATTAAGTAACGAGCGCCGTGCCATACGGAAACTGTCCTGAAACCACTGGGCTAAAAAATATTAATACAAAAATTAGGACTAGGGAAATATTTAGGTAGCTCTAGTTGCGTGGAGCAGTCAATCTTTGGGACTGGTAAATTAAAAAGTCAGTAATGACTCAGGAACAGAAATTATAGACCTCTACATCCATAAACACATACATATATTTGAACAGAAAAAAACCCACAACAAAACAAACCAACCAACCCAACCAACCAACCAAAACCAACAAGAGAAGAAACATTCATTGCTTTCATTTAGATTTACCCTGGAAAGAGCACTGAAACTTTTCCCTACCTATCAAACCCTTTCAAACTTGATTTCAATTTAAAAAATAATTTTTGGAAGCCTATATCTTGCTAGTTTTTGAAACATTTAAAATAGCAGGAGTGAACACACAAGCCATAACTAGCCACTTGATAATACAGAGCAATCCACTTAAACATACTTCATGCTCTCTGCAAAATTAACCCGTAAATCTAAGGTGACAATTTCTGTTGGATTTTGCTGCTTTGGAACAAAACCCAAGAGCAGAAAAGGAAAACACAGAGCCGACACTGAGGTGTGCTCACCACAGCCTTTCCCACTAAAGCATCCTTATCCTACAACCAGTATCTGTTTGAAGATTCTTTGGACCACATAAAAAACATTAAATATTTACATTGACTCTCCCATCCCTTGCTAATTTAAATCTTAATATGATCCTATTCATTACACCCTCTTCTCCTCCCTCACTCTCTCATTAGTACATAATTAACATTAACCAGAATTAGGGACTGCGCACGCAACATGAATTCTTTTATGCAAAACACCCTCTCTTCTATTGAGGGGAGCTTTCCCATGAGGAAACTCAATGCAGAATACTCTGAAGAAAGGGGGGCTTGTTACACAGTGAAGAAAAAATTGAGATATTTCATTAGGAAGCCAGATTTAGACCTCTCATAACCACAGATGAAGGGCCAGCATATAAACCAGCTTCTCACACAGATTTCCAGCAGTGCCTTCCTACCCGTTCTGCAACTCACTTTGAATCAACAAACAAAAATCACAGATAGAAAAAGAAAAAAAAAGAAAAAACCCTCATCACCTTGAGGTGCAACATACACTAAAAAATGCTACAATAAAAATACCGAGCTGTACCCTTTGTATGACAGGCCCATACTGTTCTCAAATCCCTTAATTCTTTAAATTCTTATAGAAGCCTTTGTGCTTCCATGACATCCTATTTCAGCTTATCCACTGCTGCTTCTAACGACAAAGCACAAAAAGCAACATGCTCTATATATATCTAAGGACATTCTGACAAGTTAAAAAAAAAAACCCACTTCAAAACCACCACAGAACCATTACTGGTGTGTTCCTTACACAATAGAGGTCCAAAAACTCAGTACTACTTTATATCTGTGAATAGCCAACTGCAGTAGTAAAAGCTTCATTGAACAGTTTGAAGGACACACAAAACTCTTCAGCAGAGAGCAAAGTTTCAAAACACATCAGTGTCTAGCAGCTACTTTTTTTTTGGTTCAGCAATCTTTCCCCAGTACTCACACTGACCTCAATCTAATACAGAATTTATACTTATGCAAACACATGAGAAAGAAACGTCTGCAGCAGATTCTAATTTTGCACGGCTTAACGTATCTAGACACCAACTTAATGAGGAAGATTTCCCTGGGACTAAAATAAATTTAAAAAAAAATTGAAGAAAATGTAGTTTTGAGTGAAGAAACCACACTGTGAAGCAAACATTTTAAATGGAGACTGTTGGGTTTATGCTGCCTGTTTTCAGGTGAAAGAAAAGCTCCAGTGGTACAACTTCTTGCTGCCCACTGCCAGTCCTCAACATGCAACAGAAACGTTTGGGCTGCACTGGAGCTTTTGCACTGCTGACATCAACAAAAAACTGGGATGACAGCTATAAATTGGTAAATCCAAAGGTCCTCCCAAAATGCCCATCATAAAGACAGCAGCAAACCTTGCAATAAAAGAGTTCAGCGTTGCAGACGCTCCCCAAAGCCTGCCTCCGCTCCTGGGATACCTCCAGGATCATGGAACAAGGGGATAGGGGAGAACTTATTCTCACAAACACACATTAAACAATCCTTGGGGTAGGGAAGTGGTTAATTCCTGGACCCTTTCTCTCTCAAAACTGGGACACATCAGGACTTTGAAGTCTTAAATAATCCCCACAGTAGACACCCCCAATCCCAGGGAACCATGTGTGCTAGCAGCAAGAAAAAGAAATTTCCCTACTCCTACATAATCATAAGTGACTTTGTGTTTAATTTTATTTCCATTAAATAGCTCCCTTCACTGAGAAACAAAGTACTAGAAATGAATATGTACCGGAAAAATGCAGCAAGTGAAAGCAGGGAGGGGGCTGGCAGCAGCCCAGCCAGGAGACGGGCAGAAAGAGCAGTTCCCTTCGGACACTCCCTTCCCAACTTCCTTAACTCCGCATTAAAAGCAAAACACCAAATTCCTAATACGGAAACAGCTGTGCTATTTTAGACTGTAACTATCACAACAAGATCACATCCAGCAGTAAGGAAGTTTCATGGCTCATCTACAAAGAAGGGAGCATTTTGTCATCAGAAAAAAAGCTACTTTAAGTCCTTTCTACTGTTTGAGTTTGTTCTTTAGTTCTGACTAGTAGATATAGCAGAACGTATCTGTATGTTTTCACATAACTGTTTTGTTATTATTAATATGCAAAACCAATCACTACATTTCCCACTCTACTTTTTTTACTACCTTTAATATCATAGTATTTAACATTATGATGACAAAAAGAAGCGTTTACTCTAAGTTGTCCTGGTGCTTCTGAGACTACAGTCTAAAAACCAGATAAGAAAAAACACTAAAACCCATGCAAAGGAAATTACCCTCAAAAGGAAAGGGATTAAATTGCTTAGGAACATTAAATCAATACATTAGAGTCGGTAACGACACTGGTACAGGTGTATTTATGGGTTCAAATCACCCATTGAGAATTTGTTATGATTCCCTATATTTCTGAATACATGTTGAGCAATGACTTATGACAAAGCAGACTGTAAATGTATGATATGGCAAATTACAATTTATAACTCGACTACATGACTTTCTATAAAGCTTGAGATAATACACTAACTTTATACTACAGAAACCATGATTCTCTCCAGAAACTATGAAAAAAAGAATGTTAGGCCTAAGCAAAAACGTGGTTTTTCCTATAGCTTTGTTCCAGTTGTGAAAGTGTTCCACACCAAATCATGTATTACTTTAAAAGTGAGCAAGAAAAACAAAAATATTTTTACAGACTATGCTGTCAGTAGCCATTTGCTACTGCAACTTAATTGTATCTGAAGTATAGTCATATGTTAACAGAAGTATAAGCACATCTGTCAGTAGCCATTTGCTACTGCAACTTAACTGTATCTGAAGTACAGTCGTATGTTAACAGACTCACAGAAGTATAAGCACACATTTATATACATAAAGTTTGTATCACATGCTGTCAGGACAGAAGAAAGTTAGATGGACCCTACTGTTTTCATTCCAAACGTCACAAAAGCAAATAGCCACAAGGTTGAAATGAAAGGTCAGAGGGAGAGGAAGCAGGAAAGTATCTGGAATTCTGCGGTGTTGACACCCACAACATGAAACCAAATAAAAGTGGATTTCTTACCTTCCCCGACCATAGAGACACCTATGGACATGCCCATAAACTTGCTTTTGGTCCATACGTGAGCGTTCACGCACATCTTCTTCTCTTTGCACTCACAGTAAAAGCAAGATACCGGCGGGTGATGGGACACTTGTTCCGCTACAAACCTCAGCTTGTAGCACGTGGACTGGTCCTGGCCAAACTCCTTGGTTGGGTCCTTAGAAACCGTGGAGGCACCGTTAGTTCTGAACGCTTTCACTTTATCTTTAGGCACATCCCAAGAGCAATGAAACGTTTCACCAATTATAGGGTTATAGGGCTTCTTGGCAACCGCTCCCTTTCGGCCTTCATGAAAAGCTGTTAGATAATACTCCACAAAGCAGATAATTCTGTCCTCGGGAGTGGCTCCAGCTGCAATTGACAAAAACAGGTCTGGATGGGCCATGAAATTTGCATACATCTCCAGCAGGGATCTTTTCTCCAAAATAAATGTTGGAAGCACTACCTGTATGCAAAGCAGACAAAGGCAGATATGATTTCCCCATGATCACACTACCACGGGGGAAAGGGGGGGAGAACAGTTAAAACAGCTGCAATTCTGGCCCTGCCAAGTTTCAGGACAGCCTGTCTTCCTCCCCTGCCACAGCAATTTCATTTTCTTTGCAGTGTAAATAATGAAAAAGCAGCAGCCTCGATAGCCATGCAGGCTGCTCCCCATTTCATTACGATTCTCAACAGCAGCTCACACAACAGGGACGGGCTGTTCCGCTCGCATGGAAATCTGCCTTTTCCTCTCCTCTAACAAACCAACCATTGTTCTCCTTGTTTACAGGACAGAAAAACATACTTCAATGCAAATTAATTTACAGCAAACATCAACAAGCCCAACTGATCATAACCGTCCGAAAAGGGAGGGGCACACCCTCCCAAGTCACTACAAGATGAGTATTTTATATATAAACATACACATCACCAACCTGTAAGTGCTGAAGAGTGTAAAGGGTCCATCTACCCATTCTGTCGAACATCTGGGCTCCCAATTTCACACCTGGACCCTTGACCACCCAGTGCATATGTATTAGGTCCTTTCCAGCCTCTAATAAACCAAGCCAACTAGATCCAACCAAAACCAAATCTCAGGCTTGTGTTTCCAAGGATAAAACCGTACCAAGGACCATTCCCAAGAGACTACAGGCAAGAAAAAAAACTCCCCGTTTGTCTCCCTCTGTCCTACACTGTCATTGTAAGATCATGTCCCCTCCAGGTCAAATCCCTTGCCACCCCTACACTATCCTTTCACCCCCAGGCACAGGGCATGTCCTCTCAGTTTCAGATCATACCATATGACTTTAGTGGGACACTGATTGCCTTCACTTTATTTCAGATAAAGCTGAAATAAACAAGAACTGCACAAACTGTTACATCAATGTCCTGGGACTAGAGAGGCACCAGGGGGGCCAGAAATAATCTGGGACTGAGCAGCAGGCAGTGTGCCCTGGAGGGAGCCAGCCCCCAGGGATTTGGAAGCAGTCTCGAGTGGCTCATCTACCAATGCAGATGTTGCCAAAGTCACCCTCTCAGGAATAACCCTTTGTTAGAAGTTTTCAGTGAAATGAGGGATGAGGGCTACATGACCTAAAATAATTTATTTCTCTCCCCTTCTTCTCCCCCACCTTGTGCAGAACCATCCCAGGGGAGCTCAGAGGTCACTCCTGCATCACCAACAAGGAACTTGAATTTGTCTAGAATCAGAGTGGCTCAATCATGCCAGATGCAGATCAACAGCTGTCCTCTGTTAAAACAATTCTGCTTTCCTCTTTAATTCTTCAATGCATTTACTTTCTCCCTTTCCCAAAAGCAAGGGTTATTTACAGCAGGCAGGGAGCCACCCTTCCATCATAAACACATTTGCCTTCCCCCCTGCCGCCCCAGCTTGCTGTTCTGAGCCAGAGCAAAGTACAGTTCAGTCCTTCTGGATCCCATGGATGATAAAATAGAAGCTGTCAAACTTCTATTAATCATTTAGTTCTTTTCAAAGAAAACTTGTAAACATGAAAAAAAAAATCCAATCAGAATGGCTCAAACGCAGTCTTAACAGCTACACAGTTAAGTCAACATGCCACAACTGCAAAAAAAATATAACCGCTCCGCTAACACACACGCTCATTAGCTCTCTCCTCCTGTATGTTATTTACACACATAGAGCCTTTTATAGGCTAATAATTTTTACAAGTTTAGATATAAATCAAGCAAAGTTCTGTCTGCAATATTCCTCTGACTCTGCTCTGGAAGCCTTGAGGACTCTACGCGGTCTCTGTTACCAGCCTAATGAGGCCCCAAAAGATGCAGGACCTTAATTTTACACTATGCGTGGCAGACTCCAGAGTGCTGGAGGCAGCCTACAGTCCCCACGGTGGTGTGACAGCGAGGGGCTGAGGAGACTGCTTTTTAGAAGTGAAATCTAAAACTTTGGAAGGCAAAGTGGAAAGGCAGTAGATTTTCCTAGGGTATTTTTAGCTCTTTAAACAATCCCGTCTTACTTGCAGCACTCTCATTCTGGCCAAATATTCATATGCAATTCAGCATTACTGACCCTCAAGACAGGACCTCATTTTAATATAAATTGTACACTCCGAGATTAGGTTAACAAAGGAGAAACTGACAGCAAAACAGAGGGGAAAAAAATACCCCACACCCCATCACTTCTGTCCAGAAATACCAGCAGTGCCCACCATTTCACTGCAGAGAGTTAACAGGGTAGGGAAACTCCCTGGAATAAGCAGCACTCTGCATCTTGGTATGTCCCAAGTCTCTCTTCTCTAAAAAGAGTGACCTTTATTAGCATGGAAGGAAGAAAAGAAAACTACACACCATACTTAAGATGCTGCAAATTTTATGGTACAACGTTAAGACTTGCTGTGGTTTGATCCTGTTGATTTGATCATATAGTCCTCACATCCACTCCCACAAGTACTAGCTGTGTGCCCTGCAGCTACGTACCTAACACAGCTTCACCACCACAGCCACTAAATGAGGTGTTAGGAATCACTGGACTCTTATCGTTCAGTTTCAAGAACCAATTTAAAATCTGAATAAAGCCTGAACTCCAGCTCATATGATCTTGCTTTAAAAGCCCAACTAAAATGGAAACTACATCCTTAATTATGGCAGGAAAGGACTCACTGCAAAGTGCAGAGTAATTGAATTGTTTCCGCAAAAGGAGATAGAACTACATATGAAAAAGTATTTGAGTTTTAAAGCCTACACAATTCCAAAAGGCTTACAAAATATGCCTAGAAAACACTGCTTTTTACTAAATACTTTCAGTGCCTCAACGTTTCAGTATGTAACACCACCACACACCAACACAGTCCAAAAAAAAAATCAAATCACAGCAGTCAATCTATTTTTTTAATTGGCACTATCTTTACCTCTGTAGAAATAAGCGAAATAGAAATAAACAAATTTGGAAGCATAGGCCATTCTTCTTGCCAGTGTTGGGACTGTCATGCACTTGTACTAGTATTCTAGCTTCCAAAGAAATGAGGTTTTCAACTTTCTGCAGCCAAACAGAATGCACTGTTCAGAAAAATACACTTAGGACCTATATTCTTTATATTGGCTTTGGACTGGACTACAACAATTTAATATTTTTTTTGGTAATTGCATAAGAAGTCAAAATTGCCTAATTTTTTCCTCTGAGAAAAAGTGGGCATGACTACCAAATGGACATAAGAATTTCTGTGGAATAAATACCAAGTTGCTGAAGTCTGAAGCAAAAAATCTCCCACTTGCATTCTAAACTGTTTGAATAATCTCTGTTCTTCCTCTTTCTCAGGCTTCAGGTGAAAAGGAAGCAGTTTAACCGACATTCTTCTGTTTTCATGGAGGTTAAAAAGAGGATATTGGCTCAAAGCTTGATCATAATCTCCTAGATGAATTCACCTACACCTAACCAGACCTGCATGCAACTGAAAAAGGTAAGAGCATGACTTGTTAAGAGCAGAGATATTTATCCCCTCTACTATTTGCTGCGAGGCAAACCATGGGTGTCAGTACCATTCCCTACTTTTTTCAAAAATGTGCCAAGGCACCCCATGCTGAAATGTCCTTCTCTTAGAGGTACAAAAGCTTCCCACTGTTGTCTGTGTTGCTGGGGGAATAATACAAGCTATTTTCATCCTACTTATACTTTAAAATTACAAAGTAGAAGTATATTGCCAAGCAAATTTAAAACTTACAACATCATGAACACACTACAATGTTAACTTACAAAAGGTTGATATTCTGCAGAATTACTGGCAGTCCTTTTTACACAGAATGGCAGCCCTTTATTTTTAGCACATGTGAACTGCGTAGGGAAGGTGAGGGAATGCAGGGGAGTGATCACCCATCTGTACAAACTGTTAGCATTAATTGCAACCCATTAGATGCCATTTGCCAACAAATCCATCAGGCTGCCAGTGGGTTTTGGCGCTATTTTTCATTTTTTAAAAGTCCAAATAACAAATAATTTAGAAACTTATTTTTTCCCCAGCAATTCCATTTTAAGTGAGGTTTGAAGTCCTAGCCCAGTCCAAGGTATCGGTTTTGTATTATGTTTTGCTGCTGTGAACTGCACCCACCCAACTCTCTCTGGCAGCTATTGAAGTCTATTTGGCCACCACAGAGTCAATCCTGTTCTAGCAAATCCCCATGCAGATTTAATACTTCATTGCGGGTGTTTTCTGTCACAGCAGATTTTTACTGTTTAACTCCTCATTAAAAGGCATGGCAGCGTGACACATCTCAGAAGCGAAGCACCTCTGCAACGTTAAATGTGGCTATCAGCACTGTGGGAAACTGATGTCAGTGCAGGCAAGGCCAAGAGTAACTATAAGCCATCACCCCGTAGGAAAAGGAAAAGATGCTGTTCCCTCTGATGTGGTACATGAAGGCAATGATTATGCATCCGGAACTCAAAGCCACCAAGGGCTCAGAAGAGCTCTCTGTTCACGTGTGGAGCACGTTACAATCCATAGCTCACAAAATGAACCAAAGAAACAACCCTTGGGAAGAAGGCACAGGAAAACAGAAACATATAAAACACCCCCTGGTATCAGCAACTGCTGTGCCACAACCACTTCCAGCAGAAGCTGACCAGCATCAAGGCTATCTGAAAGCTGACTTTCAGAGGAATAACGAAAAATGAGAAGAGGTGCAGGCAACAAACCAAGCTTTATCATCACACGTCTGTGGCCCAAAGGGCCTTACGCCAGTAAGCAACGTTAATAAAAAAAGCAGCCAGCTGTCTTGTAATTATTTTTTTTAATCCTCAAAATGGTCAGAATAGTGATGTGCACATGTGGCATGTCTCATTAATACTCATCATATGTGTATTCGTGCATCACACAGACTAGAGATAGATCTAATCTGCCATATGCCTGTTCCTCTTTTCAGACTGAGGGTATTATATCTATATTCATGCATGTTAATATTCTGCCATACTATAGATCTGATGATATTCGTCACTATCCTCAAAAAGTGTGCTCTAAGAACACTATGTAAGAAATAGGTTATCATATACCTTCCTACTTTTAAGTGTCTACACTTCTCTTACATACAGGAATTTCTCTTATTTACATTAATTGTGTGTCTTTGGGATTTTGCTTCCTCTGCCAAGACAAAAAGATGACACTGGAAATCAGGGAAGAAAAATCTTGTTCATTACCAAAGACAAAATGTTTGAAGACACAAGAACACCACAATCTTAGTCTAGTTTAAACATTATGGACTCAGACAGCCTTAGCAAACCAACACAGAAAAGAGGAAGAGCTATGAAAAAATTGAGGACTGTATGAAAAACAAAACCAAAAATGAACTATACATAACCCCAGACATACTAAGAAGTGACAGGTATAAATTATTCACAAATGAAATGATGAAACTTTTGTTCTATTTAGAACAAAACTTTAATTTCTGTGCAGCTATTCAAGAGCTATACTTAGCAACAGATCAATGGGATTGCTCAGTCTTAAAAATGTAAGCATTTTTAAATATTGTCAATTGCTCCAGAGGAAGCAGAAAAGACTATATTGAGAAAGTCTTATTTTGTAAGAAAGTGATACTAAAAAAGATTTTGACTAATATGTAAGATCAAAAAGGAAAGCAGATGAACTCTTCAGAATATCAAAATGCCCATGAGAACAATCTCCTGCAAAGCTTCTTCATGCACAAGGGAAACTCTCTGGTCATTCCAAACATTTTTTTATTTGGGGAGGGGGGGGGGGGGGGGGGGGGCTGGGGGGGTGGTTTCTTTTCTTTGTAGATCCCTGACCCGTCATCCAGTTTTCTCTTCACTTCCCGGGAAAGCACACCCCAGGCTTCTTTCATTTATGCAAAAAAAAAAAAAATTGTTTAGGGAATGGGGGGGAGGGGCTGGCCTAATAATTTTTTTTTTTGGGGGGGGGGGGGGGGGGGAGGTGTGTCAGAATGAGTTGTTCTTATTTTGGGGAAGTGGGTTATAGGGGTTTTCTTTGTTTGGGTTTTTTTAAGTAGAAAACCTTTGTGGAAGGACAGGGTATTCCACATCTTTACAAAAATCCACTTGATTATTTATTAAGCCCCATGAGAAGGTTTCATGGAATGTACGACTACTCAAAAATAGGCATTCTGTGCTTCCAGAACATCCACCTCATTTCCAAAACTCGACTTATGGGAAATTTCTCAGACTCTGTAGCCTCTCTGATCATATCAGTACAGATAAGCTCATAACTATACTGCTTCCAGGACCAGAAGGATGCACAGAAGGTTAAACTGGTGAGCTGCTTAGCACAGACAAGAACAGTGACACACTGAAGACTGTAATTTCTTTACCACCATGGTTTTTTGGAAGCTGCCAAGTAATTAAATGGAATCAAATCTACAAAGCAGTAACTTGAGCACATTATCTCCTTCATCAAAACAACTGCAGTTATTGTTCCTCAAAAACTCAGTGCACCCTGACTTAACATACATGTGAGATACCTATACAATATACGGTCGCTTTGAAAGACTTATAAAAGAATATGGAAGAGTTTTGGGGTTGTTTTTTTTCTTCTTTTTTTCTTTCCCTTCCCCCCACCCCATTCCCTCATACCTAACATATGTGATGTGGTTACTTCCTGTGAAAGCCTGCTTAGCAGGAAACAGCACTCCATAGCTCTCTGGAACTACACCTTTACAAAGAGCCAAAATTCCATGTCCACAGGGGCAAAACGTGCTCACAGGAATCACATGCACACACACACACAGAAGGATGAGAAGAATTAAAAATAATGAACAACTATAAAAGAGATACAGTGTCCATACCCTGGTAAGGTCCATGCCAAGTTTGAGTTGAGAGATGAGATGGAGAATTACACTACGTTGATCATCCATGACTCCTAAATCCTCCTCTTCGTTATCTTCAGTATCTGTCATTTCATCTTCAACTAGGATCAACTCTGAAGCTGAATGCTGAAATGAAAAGAAACATCACCATCTGGACAAAAAGATACAGTATGGGTTTTTTTCCACTATATATGTTTAAAAATGAAGCTTTCTCAATGGAACCAAAGACAGCCTCTGTTAAAACCGAGAAAAGATACAAATTCAAAATAGAAAAATCCAGTGATGGGTTCATAAAGCATTTCAATTCTATCCTCAGAACAAAAGTGGCAAGTATCAAATGCTAATTTAACACATCATCTTCTCATACTGATATTGCAGAGATGCCAGACAAATACCATAGCATATTAAAATAATGGGTCTTCTATTTATTAAATACAAGTACACAGACGAAAATGAGTCTTCAAGAGTTTGTTTCATAAATCTCTCCAGCAAATATTCATACTTCACACCTAAATGTTGCATGACTTGATTTCACACTATATTTTTTTCCTTTCCTCTATCCAATTACAAGTTACATATCTAAGAAAGTCAAGACTATTAACTGAAGGAGACAAAAAGAAGACTACAATTACAGTACACATCTTTGACAAAAAAAACAAAGACATTAGATTTTGGAGGTCAAGGCAACACCATGAGTCTTTCTGACATTTGCAACGCTAAGCTGCTTGGCGGCACAACAATCCCAGTACTGCCCAGTCTCCAGACATACAAGCTGAATATCAAGAGAGAGGAATCACACCATCCCCCTTCAAGAGGGACTTTAAAGCAGAAAGGGATAATGATTTGTGATATTTTATTTCTTCTCAGGGTTTACAATATATTATTAACAATAATCCAAACAGGTGGTGGTTATTTTGTTCAATCCATCAAAACCACTCTGCAAGCCTTCCGGATATGTAAGGTAAGGTAAGCTTTTTGTACTTAAAAAAAAAAAAGTTATGGAATTATAGGTTATGGAGCTGAAAAATTTACAGCCCAGCATTTTATTATTCCCCGAGGATTCCATGCTGTAAATGAGACAACACTACCTGCAAAACTTCACATTCCCTCATGCTAAATAGCATTTCTGCAGAAACAGCCAGTTCATAACAATTTTCAAACATTTTTCATCTCACTGCAGAAGTCTTTACAGATGAAAAGTATCATTAAAACCAGCTGATATTCAGAATAAAGTTTCAAAGAATATTTCTGAATGATCACATTAGAGACCCCTCAGGTGAACAGCAGCTTGTGTAAGGAGAGTGTCTCCGAAATTTAGTTACTACAGATGTTTCCAAGATTTGAATAAAGTAGATTTCTCTTTCTCTCTTTTTTTTTTTTTTTTCAATTGAATAAATGTTTAGTTAGCTATTCCCAAAAGAATAGCTATTTGGTGAAATTCAAGGACATTTGAAAGACGCTTTACTATTCCTTTATTTAGAAAGTAGAATATGTAGATTACATAAAACAGAATCTGGTGAGCTGCAACCTCAACAGCTTGGAGCTTTTCAAAAGGACAAAACCACACTTTCTTCCTCCCACTCCCTCAGAAAAGAAAAGGATAGAACAATAAGCCCTTTCCTCCCAAAATGCACAGCATTATTATCCAACTGACACCTCACTGAGAAGTTCAATTAACATAAAACCTGATAACCTGATAGGAGATTAACAGTCGGGGAGGCAGCATACAGCACCGAAGCCTGGCTCGGCTGTACAGGCTTCCATTCATTCAGAGGGAGCGTGGAAAAAGCCGTAGCAGAACTTACAGTAGATGCTTCCACAGGAGGTTTCCCTTTGATCCAGCTTGACCTCATTGAGAGCACTGAGCTACCGAATAAGCACTGCTGCTTCTGTCACTGCCATGAACTGAGCTCGCGGCAAACAAGCTCCAGCAGGAATTAATAGCTCTAGAAAAAAAAAAAAAAACAGCACGGGAACCTCCCCTCCTCACTCCCCCTGCCTTTTTCTATTTTTTTTTTTTTTGGGCTATCCGACGAGTTGGAGAGTGTGCTCCGGATGTCAATCTGCTCCTTGCCTTTCCAATCACATGGCACCGAGATCAGGGAGCTTAACTGCACACAGCTCCAACTGGGAAATGGTGCTGTTGCTGCTTCCCAAAGGATATCTCTGCCGGGCTGTCCTCCGGGCCGGGGGCAGGAGGGAGGGGGCACGAGCGTGCGTGAGCGTGCACAAGTGTGAGAGACAGAACGTGCTGGCAGGTACCATGCTTTCCAGTGAACACACAACAGCCGTGTAACCTTTAGTTGCCAACAGCATCAGAAAATAAACAAATCACACACCACCAAGTTTGCAGACTAAATCATATATTAAGAATTTTCTCTTTCTCCTGAAGACTGCACATTCAGCCAGGGGCAAAAATCCTTCTTTCTTTCCTGCTAAAATAGATCTTAGGTTTTCCATGCCTTTCAGAGTGTAAGTAACAAAACAGCAACTGCCCCTCACTGCTGCTCTACACAACGTTCCCAGTGAGGGCAGGCAACCCTATAAGCAGTTTAAGTGCCCGGGAAAGTAGTGTTTGCATTGTTTTAATTGAAGGACTTTTCGCTCATCAGGGAGGATAAGTACAATATAACATTAGGATCAAGCGTGTTTAATGACCATTCTGCAATAAGGACTATAATCTTAATTATCTTAACTATTGCCTGTTTTAAGACGACGTGCAAGGGCACCAAGCATCCAACAACTCGACTATTGGAGTTATCAACCTGCTACTGACCTTTAGTGCATGTAGAATGATATCAGCTGGCTGCATCTTTTCTCACTTTCCAAGAAAATAAGAACTTAAGCAGCAGTTTACAATTTATGTCACAGGAACTGAACAGCAGGCACCTTCAGTAAGCAATATCCTTTCCGTATTTCCTTCTTTTCCCATTAGCTGTTCTAGGTAATTAGTGAATTGCTTTTTAAAGAGCACAGGAAATAGACATTTGTTTTTTAACTAACACATATTTTCTTTTAAAAAAAAACAACCGTGTAAGCACAACACTGGGTGTGTGGATATACAGCCACAAAACACAAAGCTGCTCTATCTTTAAAGTGTCACAGAAGTCCGATCAGGTTTTTAATTCTTTTCTTTCCACAGGAATAGTACACAGTTTAGTAGCAGCCGACGTGTAAGCATTCAGTACGATGTCAGGTGATTATCCTTTAATGGCAGCTTTTCTGAATTATCAGACGCAGACATACGTTCCTTCCTCCCTCCCCCTCTAAAATATCATTGCAAAGCTGGAGCAGGAGAGCGGGGATTTGCTCCGTTCCTGTGTGGTCAGAGCACGCTGTAAAAGCCACTGAGCTGTGGGCAGCTCTGCCCGGGCACAAACAGCACGGGCAGGAGGGGGTGCCAACCCTGAGAATCAAACACTGAACCAGTTATAAACAAGCACCAAAAAGGGGCTTGTATTTAAAATCATTTTAACCAAAATGAGTTTCCAACACTGGGCCGAAGCACTAGGATTTTTCATAAAATCATTTCCAAAAATCCTGTGAAGGGATTAATTTCAAAGTCTAAAGGCTGAAGACATAAAAACACACGCTGGCAGAGATCTATTTTAAACAGGTCACTTCATTAGAACTGGGATTGATTTAGAGAGGTCATCTGCTGGGAAACAAAATGGATGTTCTACTCAGCGGTCTTCATCAGAAAACATGCCGATTCTTTCTGAACAGATGAAACCTAAAAGGGAAAGAAACTGTTTCTGAAGAAAACATTCCGCATTTTAAAAAAAAGTCTTCAGGAAAAAGACACTTTGACAAGTCTGCGACAGAATCACAAGAGTTAAAAGCTACCTTTCTGTCAAAGGGCAAAAACTGCCTCTGTTCTTCCAAAACATCTTCCACAAGTCAATTTTGCAAATTAACTGCTGTGCTAGAAATTAATTTTTAGATCATTAGTTCAGTTATAAGGCCCATAGCTTGATTTTCCAACATAGTTCACAACACATACCATGCAACAGTACTGTCAGGCATGACATCGGTCTCATCTTGTTTATTTGTTGCGGGGGAAAGAAAGGAATATACAGAATCCCAGTATCATTTCAGTTGGAATGGACCTCTTCCCCTGCGCTGTGCTCAGGCAGGGACACCTAGAAAGAGTTGTCAAGGACCACGTCCAGCTAAGCTTTTTAGTATCTCCAAGCATGGAGACTCCACAACCTCTTTGGACAACCTCTGCCACTGTTTGATCATCCTCACAGTGGAAAAGCATTTTCTGACATCCAGATTGACGGGTCCGCTGCCTCTTGTCCTGTCACTGGGCACTACTGAGAAGACTCCATCACCCTGTCTTTCACTGCCTCCCATCATTGATAATACCCCTCTGAGCCTTCTCTTCTCCAAGGATGAACAGTCCCAGCTCTCTCAGCCTCTCCTCATGTGAAGGATGCTCCAGAAATTTCATCATCTCTGTGGATCCTTGCTGGATCCACTCCAGTAAACCCATGTCTTTCTTGTACTGGGGAGCCCAGAACTGCATATAGCACAACCAATGTGTCCTCACCTCTGCCAAGGAGAGGAGAAAGATCTTGATCCACCAGCAACACTCTTCCTAAAGCAGCCCAGGATGCTGTTGGCACCTTTGCCACAAGTGCACATTGCTGGCTCATGGTCAGCTTGTTGTCCACCAAGACCCCAAGGTCTTCTCTGCAAAAGTTGCTTTCCAGCCAGCTGGTCTCCAGCCCGTACTGGTGCAGGGGTTTACCCTCAGATATCCCCAGATGCAGCAGAACTTTGCATTTCCCTGTGTTGAACTCGATGAGATTCCTCTCTCTCCAGCCTGTCAAGGTCCCTCTCAATGGCAGCACAATCCTTTTGACTCATCAGCCACTCCTCTCAGGTTTTTTTATCATCTACAAACTTGCTGAGGGTACACTCTGCCCCATCATCCAGGTCATTAATAAAGACGTTGAACAGTAGTGGCCCTAGTATTGACCCCTGGACTACACCACTAGTGTATGCGTCCAAGCGGACCTTGTACCACTGATCACAACCCTCCAGGCCTGGCCATTCAGACAGTTTTTAATCCACCTCACTGCTCACTTATTTAATCCATACTCTGTCAGTTTGTCTAT